TGCTCGGAGGCTTTGTACAGCGGTGCTTCTGAGTCGCAGTCCTTGAGGAAGACCACTTCCACGACTCGGCTCCATGATGCCATCCGTGCTATCAATCAGGATTTTTTTTAGAGGTCTCAAAACGAGAATGACGCATTTTTTTGGAGCCAGGAAAGAAACCTGCCACACTAACACCTTGTACGCACACGAGGATAGAAGTTTATATAAATAAATATAGTTTAGTATTGTTTGGGAAGTTTAGTATTGTTTGGAAACTTTATTTTACAGGTATGGGTGTCAAAAATATTTAATAGATTAATGACACTGCTCTGAAAAGAACAAGTATATAATAGGCAACATTTCTGGCAATTGACTTTCTTCAGAGCAGAGAACCAGTCTCTATGTATAAGCAAACGTATACCCCTTTGTCATATATACTTTTAGAACGTTCACAATCTAATATTTTTCATTGGTTGGGTGTAATAGACAAAGCAGGAGCTACTTCACTTGCATTGTATTTGTTTAGAATGTGCGTGCACATCAACTATTGTACTGCATGCCTGCATTTGCATAATTGGTGGAACCAGGCGCGCGAAATATGCATAAAAAAAACACAGCGCACAAAAAGAGGGATGTCGTGTCAAATCTGGATCACAATTGTGTTTGTTGGTTCAGCATGTAAGACTAACAACAGCCTGTGCCATTCTTGCAGCACGCCTTGAGAAATTATTGATTCAAATCGGTTTGTAGAGCCGGGAATTGTAAAACCCCATGAATTGTGACCTAAGAGGACACAGTAGGAGCCACGTAAAGCATTGGGAACTTGAAGGAGACCCACAGCTGACCCCGTGAACAATGGAGCACTGTTTGGAGGCTACCTACGCAATGAGAACGGTTAACGGTCAATGAGAGTAAGCTGCATGTCCAGTAATGCAACAGTTCCATATTTTTTTACTTTTTGCCTGTAAAGTTTTGCTACCACTTGTATCCCGATTTTGCTATTGGCAACACGTCGCGAGATGAATAATCCATTCAGATCTCTCACAAAGCAATGGAACTCATTGTGTTAAGATAACAGTCCGTAGAAGCGAGTATCACAAGAGCTACCTTTAAGATCTCTTCAATTGGTCCCTGGCCCTCTACGTAGAGGGAAGCACTTTCCCGCCAACTTTGCATATTAGAGTAATGTTCGTTGCATGAAAGTGAAAGCCATATATTAATTCTCAGAGTTGGAATGTAGCCAAATTTATTGCAGAGGCGGAGCCAAGGTTTACGTGATGGTGATACAATTTTATTTTTCGTAAATTTCCAGCACGAAACGGTACACTTGCTTACAGGGCACCTCGGTGCTGCGATGATTAATAATTAGTGGTGAGTTGTTTATTTAATTTTTTATCTACGTGACTTTACCGAAAGAACTAAGAGTAAGAGTGTGGTGAGTTGTTAACGATGGGACACGAGACCGGCTGCAGTAGCTCGGTGCTTGCATGCTCCCATGCTGCAGTCATGTCTCTGGTCATTGCCGTGGGTGTATTCACCACAAAATACACAGCCGACTGCTTCAGAGTGGACGTTAAAGATCCTCTGTCGTCAATCGCGAGAGTAGGCCAATTGATAATTGGTTTTTTACCCTTTTATCTAGCAACAAAACTGACGCCTTTTTTACGAGGAGTCATGTTTGCATGATGGTGCATTGTCTTTGAGTTGTGCGCCTTTTGGCGTCATCTGGTCCAACCCAAATGAGACTAGGCTCTAAGGAAAGCTGTCTCGGGTGTGGACCAATAAACTTCAAGGACAGTGCATACATTATCATAGTTATGTTTTTTGTTTGCATTATGACTGCAGGTATTGTGGTCTATGCAAACATAACTCCTCGTAAAAAAAAGGTGTCAGTTTGGTTGCCAGATAAAAGGGTAAAAAAACAATTATCATATTTTTTACTGGCAAATGAGGTTCCAATGGAGTAGGCCAATTGTTTGCTGGCGTCAGGGTCCAACTGTGGCAAATTCAGAAAAAGTTACCCAATTGGGATTACACATAGCAACGTTCCCCCCCACACCCCCACACACACTGTGAAACTCAAGCAGACTACATCCTTGGAACATAGCGCCATCGTGCCCTATAAGGATGGCGTAAATACGAAATGTACAACACATTTTTGTTATTATTAATAATGTTCGAACGTCGTCTGTCTCACATGCTCCATCTCAGCCGCTTCCAGATCGGAAAAATACCCCGACGTTGTTTAAAAATGTAACAGACATCTCCTGGGCATATACACAATTTTAACAATAATATTACCATTTATTACAGATATAAATTAAATGTAAAGTTTAAAATAAGACGATTGAGTGTCAATTGCTGTGTCACCAAATATCGATTAGCAATAGTACACGCTATCATAATTAAATCTCGTCTTAATTAATCAGTCCTACATTTCCATTCAACAATGCTAATGCATTGTCAATTATTTTCTCTGCAAAGCCTCACTTGAGTCACATTGGGATGCTTCACCAATCCCATTTATTCGTGGTTTTGGCATGTGGGAGAAAACCAGGGTACCTGGAGAAAACCCACAATGCACGCGAGAGGAGTATACTCCACACGGCCGTATCTCGTCCACTCCTTGCAGTCACACACCTGCAACACCTGGAACGCCCTGGTGGTCACGTGTCCAAGTACTAACCATGTACCATCCTGCTTACTTTCTAAGACCCAACAAGATCACGCCACGTTTATTGTGGGTTGTCTTAGACAAATACAATCAGTAATGGTCAGAACGTAGTTGTAAGCCAGAGTGCTGAGTGGGGGGCTTGTGGATGTGAATGTGTTTTTTATTTCATCAGAAATTCCAGAATTTCCTATGCACCGAGGAGTGTGCATGAAAGGTACCGAAATGCAAGCTGGATGCAATTTCTAAAAGTGTAATCTAACAGTGTAGCTCCATTTTAAGAAACGCAAATCTTGATCGCGCCTTTGAAAATGTTTTTTTTAAGATGTCTGTTTGAGATTAAATATCCTGCTTGACGTATGAGCGGTCCTTAATGTGGTCAGTGCACTTACCTCTCACAAGCGGAGGCAACTTTTGACGTTTACAGTATACGTGTGTATGTATGCAAGTACATCATGCTATGATGTGTAACATAGACACACGCATACGTGCATCAAAGGGCACTTTCGTGGCAAACTGACAGCTGATATAAGTTATTTTCTTCAGATAAACATGGATAGTAAGATCCAAGAGGAACACATTCTGCCAAAGTCAACACAATAAGAGGATTCCTACTGTTTATATTTTGCGTTAACCGAGAAAATGTTCATTGAATCTAATAACTCTACGTCTGGATATCGGGATATCTCCTTCAGATGAACGAGTTCCTGGAATAAACCCCACATTAAGAAGTAGACGACACAAAGAAGTTGTCAACGATTTAAAGAATACATTACTAATTAGCAAGAGAGTCGGCTCAACAATTAGGAAAGAAAAGTAAGACACTGCAAGAACAGATATGAAGCCAAAATCGGCGAGCAGAAAATGCCTCCTGTTGTGTCGACTTGGCCCAGTTTCAAAGTCTGCTTGTCCAGAGTTGCCTGTACTGAATCAATGCTGCCCAAACGATGCACTTATTCCCAGCAGCTCGTTGGGCTGATGGATTGTGTAAGAAAGATGTATTTACTTACGTGGAGAGACAGATATATAACAAGTAGACATATTGTCTGCTTTTCGATTTTTCTTTTTTTTACACAACAACGTTAATGATTATTTCAGATATGAAGACAGACAGGCACAGCCTGGACGAGAGACCGTGAGATATGCGGGGACAAGCGTGCCACAGAGCATGTCTGTCTGGGCACCTTTAACCTCCAGGCACACTCGACTTGTGGCAAGGCCAGCCATGCCGCTTGCACGTGCGTGGACAATGACACGCAACAGCCTTGAGATAAACGTTCTCACATACCAGGGTTGGTCAACATTTTCTTGAGTATTTCTTTTTTTTTTTATAGAGGAACATAGATCCTCAACACCAACGTGTTCATTGTGTGATCAGGGCTTACACGGAGGGGGTGGAGCCTTAGATGAAGTGAAACGTGACGCAAGGGTGTATGTTATTGGACAGGATTTTGACCTCGAAACTTATGAACTCACCTTTGCATTCCCCATATCCTTGTTTGGGTATGCTTACCGCCAAAGAAGGAAATTAGTTGGTATACGTATGAATGACCTTGAGCCAGACATAAGGCTATTTTAAAGTACATGTGCAGTATAATAAGTCATTGCTCAGTGCAAATCACAGTGAACACTAGTGCTGGCAGATGTATATAAAGTATGAAGTTAATTTACAATGTATTTATTTAGTATTTAATAGAGAGATGGTGTTATATTTTATTTCATGTCATATTTTAGTTATGTTTTGTGTTAAAATTATATGCTATGTAAATCAACAATCACTTCATGAAAATATATTCGTACAAGTCTGAGCTGAAATAACTTCAAAGGCAACATTTTTAATGTGGAACTGAACAACACAACAATCAAAAACTAGCTTCGTACTCTTAGAGCTCATCAGTGCACCGTAGTCAGTCACGGACCCCAGGTATGCTGGGTCTGACATTGGCAAACGTGCAGTAAAATCCACGTAAAACACACGTACAGTATAATATTAAACGTACACGCCATACATAAACAATGCTAATGATATTGTCAAGTCTTGACCAAGTAACGCCTAACTTGATCCTCACGATATATTTCAGAAGGGTCCTCCTGCATTGGGATGTTTGACCAACAGCCTTAACGAGCGTTCGGCAAACATTCCCATATCAGCTGGGATTCCAGCACACGTTTTCATTAACACCGATTGTGCATCCCCTGTTACTCTCCCCCCATCTCTCTCTCTCATTAATGCCCACGGCACATCAGAGGTGCATAGGCAACGTTACTTTCATCAGTCAACACACACACACCGTGTGAATGAAGTTCAAACGGACATCGCCCCCGAAGGCACACTGGTGTGCCCACTCACCCGTGTCGCTGTCCTGTTTGCTGCCGTTCGCCCCCATTGCACTCTCAACGGGGCCACGCTCTCTCCAAAGCCATGTGTCGCCTCTCAACATCCAAGCCGGGTCCACCAGACACAGAGAAAGAGAGCGAATCTCCTCCAACACCCCATCCGCCAGCAGCAGACCTCCCCCCACCCGCCAACTACAAGCCCTTGCTCCAACCTCCCCTGCTACCCTAGCTCTTCAACAATGTCTCAAATACCCCTTTCCTCTGACGGCACGTATACTATCTCGGACTCGCGAGAAGCTGAAAGCTGTAGACGCACACTCCCACGGAAAAAAGGACGGGATCGTAAATTAGTCCGAGCAGCCGCGCCGCGGTTGAAGGTGCCAGGCGATAAGCAGCACCACTGCCCCCCGTGTCAGTAAGTGCGTGTCTTGCGACTTCGGTAATTGCTGCGTTGTACGTTGCTCTCAGCTTTAAAGAGAATGAAACGTGAAGGCGGAGGAGACGGACGGAGCAGCAGCAGCAGCAGGAGGAGGAGGGAGGGGAGGCGGAGGAGAGTGAGAGAACGAAGCAACGCGACTGCTTTTACATTTCACATTGTCAGCCACTTCTTAGCTACATGAATCACAGCGCGGAATGTGGCTCGCTGAGAAAGCATTGGAACCAAACAAGAGGGAGGCGAGAAAAACAACGACAACAAAAAGGAGCTGCAGTCAGCTCGGTGACATCGCTCGGTTATTTAGCAGCCAAAAGGCAACTAACGGCGACTAACCTACAAGTAAGTACGCCGGAGTTCGAGCCACATCCCCTAAAGCGCTTCATTGCGTATACGTCTCATCAGGAAGACCCGTGAACTCGTTAGATGGAGGGGTGTTCTGTGGGGCGGTAACCGGTGGGCTGAGAGAAACCAATGCGAAGTGAGAATCTCACCCCCACCACCACCACCACCAGCCCCCCCCCCCAAAAAAAATCACAATGTTTTTTTGAGAGAAGTAGGAACCCCTCCTCCTCCTCCCCCTCCATCCTCCTCCTCCCACTCCTCCCGAAGTCTGGAGTCTCCGTGCAGAGGCTGGGGGAGCGGTGGTGGTGCGGTTAAGGCTCATTGCCGGCCGTTATAAAATACCTTTATACACCCTCTAAGTGAAAACAGACGTGCGCCGTCATTATGCTGCTCGGTATTTATATCCGCGTGTGACACAGTGAATAATGAATGACCCCGTCTCTGCTTCAGGAGATGAAATGAGAATGCACGTGTATTGATGTGTATGCAACACGCGCCAACACGTGCTGCCGACAAGTCTGAACGTAACATGTGGTGAGTTTGGAGTTAGACATAATTGTGGATTATGGTATATATGTTTTACATGTTAAATTGTATTATTAATATACTAAATATATGGATATCATAGTCCTCTCCCCACCCATACAAATACACAGCGTTTTTCCAGACTCTGAGCAAGTGCTGTAAGCGAGTAGCACCTATGAAGGATGGCACGGCACACCGCCTATCGTGGTGAAGTATGGTCAAACCACCCCCATAACCGACACTGCGTGGGAAATACTCGATCCAGCCGTGGATGTACAACGACCATTATTATTGGTATCATACCACGATTACAATCTAATGTTCCCAATATAAAGAAACACATTGTTGGTTTGCGGACTTAAGCTTCCGCTAATGCCACCGTGATCTAATGACGAGGGGATTATGTTACAGATGACGACGAGCTAAGTATACGATACTCTGACAGTAGAATACTCACGTTGGAATGGCGAGCTTGCTATAGACCCCGGCCACCTCAGCTCGATTCCCGGCTCAACATCAACGGCGTTCATCCATCAGTCCGTTGACACATGGGTCTGTGAACATGGATTACTCATTTTAGCCGCGTTTGTCCGTGGTGAACGACCCGGAAAAAAAAAACAATTTTCGCACTCGGCACACCACATCCAGTATACCCGTGGCTATGGCTTCTCTCGTTCGGTGCCTGCTCCAATCTATCAGCGACTTTGAACATATTCAGTGAAACTTTAAGCCCTGGTCTAAATAATAGCAACAACGATTGTATTTTCAGTCCATGTCGGTTGTATGAGTAGGGGCGCCGTGATGGCAAGATGTTACATCCCTCCCCTACTGCGTAGTCGTAGGTCGTGGGTTAGATCCCGACCCTGACGATGCCAAGTTGTACATGTGGAGTTCGCGTGTTCTCTCTCCCAGCAGCCGCGTGTGTTTTTTTATTTTCCGGGTCCTCCGGTTTTGCCCTCTACACTGAAAATCATGCCTTCAGATTTCTGTATTTGGCTGCGTTATGACAACGATGACGATGATATACGCAACTTTCATGCGCTCTCGTCACGTGTGGCCTCTGGAAAATAGCTCATAGTTCCCAGGTGGCTTAACCTGGTAAATAGCACAGTTTTACTTTAGTTGCAAACAACGGGCACCTCCGCCCCACCCCCCCCAAAATCGCGTTCCGTTATCTTCAATGCAGAGGTCCGCATACCAAAGCGAAGGCGAGCGCTCGTTCTTGTCGAGTGATTGCGCTTAGGGGCCGTCCATACATGACGTCACGCGATTTTGGACGATTTTTGACCCCCCCCCCCATCGTCACACGACGTCACAAAAAGTCAGACCCCCCTCAAATATGACGTCACAAAGCTCTGCTCCCCCCCCCCCCCCCAGAAAAAAAAATGCTTCAAATCGCTTTAAATGTTGTAGGAAAAAACATTTATTAAAACGTCTATTTAATTAAGTAGAACGTGTTGTCTATATTTACTGACAGTTGCGCATTTTGATGTGACGTCACATTTCTCATCCCCCCCCCCTCGTAACACATCGTCAGAAATGTCTGAGCCCCCCCCCCCCCAAGGTGCGTGACGTCATTTATGGACGGCCCCTTACGTGTGCACACGCTGAGCTTGTACGCTGTTGGTGGAGAGGGGCCAGATGGAGCGGAGCGAAACATGGCCCAATCGACAGGGTCTGGCAACGCGCTTTGCGCTAGAGAGCACCGCTGCTGCCGCTACTCCTGCCCAGACGAAATGGCTGGCTCCTGTTGAAACGCAGACCTCGGAGGCGACTCGCGTGCGCTCTGCCATTCGGTTGCCGGCGTACGGCGAGAAATAAGTTCCACGTGCATACCATTCGTTCGTGCATTCGCTTTACTGGTTTGAACCCCAATTTTCATTCCACCACCCCACCACGGCACATTGAACCGTTTGAACCCCTGAGATCGGTGTTGCTACTCGGGGGTGCGATTCAATGAGTTGTCTCAATCACGCAGTTGCGCGACTCGATTCAACAATTGATTATTTTTTTGTGTGAACATTGTGGTGAATGTAGCGGCCTATAGTGGCTTGAGAGTGTTCCATGGCAATGTTTATAAATCTAAAGCGTCGATTCGAATAAGCGCGATTCGATGCTGCACGTTATCTCGGAGTTTCAATATCTCTATTAATCGATTAACCGATCTATAGTTACACTGCTATTGGGCAATAGATAATTTCAGTTAAATTCACACCCTATTTCACTCAACTCTCCTCCCCTCCCCCAGGGATCGGTATGTTACCTCTATGTGCTGGAATAATTATACACTATGTAAAGCAATCATAGCGTGTGCTTTAACCAATGTTTTAATTACGATATGGCTTTAACCACTTACGTATATTTGCTTCCGTTCAACCTCTCTCTACGTTCCATCTTTATAAACGTCATATTCATATATTGTTATTTTTACAGACCTTTTTTAATAGACTGCTGGATGAAAACCTCACCGTGTTTGGTGATGAGGGCTGTTGTTGTTTTTTAACATGCATTCACCACGCCGGTCAGTGCGTGTTGAAGAAGGCGTTCGGGGAGTCAGCAGAATCGTATCACGTTGTGCTCCGACCCCGGCCGGCCAACCTAAGTTCGATTCCCAGCCTCGGCTAAATCCAGCGTCACCGCAACTTAATGCGCTGCTCACAGACGAGCGGCTTCGTGTTTGTAGACGAAAGCGTGCGGAGGCAAAGTGCTTCTTCAGCGCGGACAGTTTCACTTCAACTTCTTCCAAGTCGCCTCCCAGAAAGGGCACGGCTATGCAACGAGACGCAATGTTTAATATTTGCCCGAGTTTGTAATTCCACTTCACGTGCAATTCTAATTTTTCCTTTAAAATGGGATTCGATGGAATTAACAAAATATTCCACAGAATCTATTTTGGGTTAGGATGTAGTACATAAAGGACCTGCAGCGAGGTTAGGTTAATCATCCGCAAGTCTTCCTGGTTTGATTGGGCGCTGTGTCTTATTTAATAAACGGAATAGGATGCAAACGCAGGGAACGATAATGCAGTTTGACAGCTTTCTGTTATTTTTAATCAACAGTTCTTTGCAATTCCTGACGACATCCGATTTTGACCAATAATAGCTTTTTAAAGGTTATTCCGTCTGGATTCTAAAATTAGATCGTATTCGTATTTCTTATATATTGGATAGCACCTATGTAGGCCGGAACAAGGGTACGAGAGGGCAGTTGTGACCAGCACCACGCTTGACCACCTTTGTCTCTACAGTGCTAGGTGGGAATCCCTAGACTGGTCCAGCCGTCTTCATAGCGCAATGCACTAAACCACTGCGCCACCGCTCACCGAATATACGAACACAAATATATATTTTTAAATACAAGTTCTGAACAAAGGCACAAAACATGAATCGACCAGCAATGATCAGAATCAGTCCTATCACAGTTGTAACAGATACGAGTCCACACGTTCTTTGAAATGAGTCATGGTTTTAAGAGCTTCAAGAACGAAACGAAAATAGACGGTATACATAGACACATACTCATACGTAGACATATGCTCACACATGCTGACACAAAGACAAGACAAAGATCCCCCGTGTAGCCTTAACAGACTGTAGGGGCAAGTGCTGTTAGCGAGCACCTATAAAGGCTGGCACTGCACACGACGGGGTGGGTGGCCAACACCACGCCCAGCCGCCTTTGTCTCCCGAGTAGCAATGTTAACACATTGCACCAGGTACTCATTTGAGGCCGAGTCGACCTAGGGGGGGCAGAACCGGTTCAGATAATCGTCACTGGTGTCGGCCGTGAGCGGGAATCGAACCCGGGTCGCCGGATTTGTAGCGCAGCATGCTAATTACTACACTACTGCTCCCCCACTACACATACGCTGACACACACATTTGTTCACATGCACATCTTCGGGAGACAAATTTAGTCCTTAGGGCTTAACCCGTGAAATATCACGGACATTTTCGGGTGTGCGTTAATACTGTAACAAAGATGCCAAGTACATCACGGGACTTGAGGACGTTGTTCTAATGTATGTATGTTGAACTTCGTTCGCACCGTACGTAGCCAACCGTGCTAATCGGAGGTGTTAAGCAGACATCCGCATTTCGCACGGTGGTCAAATGTACCCCCTGCTAATAAAGCCCCCAAGGTTCTCCCATTGACATCACGGAGTCCTGACTCTGGCCGTCGACGAGGTCAGTCTGCAGATCAGAGGTCGCAACCGGGTACCCGATACCCGTACCCTACCCGATACCCGGCTACCCGTACCCGGCCGGGTACGGGTACGAGTAGCCGTTTGCGACCCTGGTGCGGCAGGGTACGGGTACGGGTAGGCCGTGAGTCACTGGTGAGTAACCGTTTGTCACTCATTTCGGGTAGGGTACGGGTAGGAAACGGGTACCCTACCCGGCCGGGTACGGGTACCTATTTGCGACCCTGGTGCGGCTGGGTACAGGTACGGGTAAGGAATCAAAACCCGTTTGCGACCTCTGGTCTGCAGATCGGGTAGACGTCGCCTCGCCAACTTGACAGAACTCGCGGCAGCCCTGAGTCGCCTTATCGTGGGCTACCATCAAATCGCCAACGCCACCGTCCGCTGCTGGTCGGTGAGGCTTGGGATGGGGAGGCCAAAGAGCAGAGGTCAGCGCGAAATCAAAGCGACGGACTCCAGCCGTCCAAGCGAAATAATAATGATGGCGACGGTGAACGTGATCGTGCAAAGCAGCAGCATACCAATGTACCTAGCGACATTTGAATAAAATTAAGTAGAATTGGGCAGGGCACATCGTGGCTAGAAGGGGATGATGATGATGAGCGATGAACGAATTTGGTGACGGAATATCATCTAAAGGAGAGAACACGCCCGAAAGGAGTGATGACATTAATGTATGAGGGGGAGACCTTCATCCAGCAGCGGATAGATGACGGCTGAAAATAATGGAGTTAATTTGAATAACCTTTTCTCAAGAGTTCATATTCTTAGGTTTTTTCGGTAAAGTCACGTAGGTAAAAAAATTTAATTAATAAAAGTAAAATGAAACAAATTAAAAAATTCACGACGTTTCGGAAGCAACACAAGCCTCCGAAACGTCGTGATTTTTTTTTATTTGTTTTATTTTACTTTTATTAATTTTTATTTTTTACCTACGTGACTTTACCGAAAAAACCTAAGAATAACGATTTTGTGTTAAACCTCTTCCAGGCTCAGCAAATAGAACTCTAGCGCCACCTGGCGTAGAAGGCTGAGCTCCCTGGCATGCAAAACCTCGCCCCGCTCACCTCTCCCCGCCTCATCACTCTCGCTTCTTACTCCTCGCCTGCCTCACCTGTGTGTGCGTCTCATGTCACCCATCATGCTACTACACGTGGACCCTGCGGGTGAGTGGTTAGCACCATGCCTGGCCGCCTTTATCTCCCTGGAATACCCAGGTATTCCAGCTCGCGTCTGATAAATAAGCTGAGAGCTCAGTGGGATTTACCTGGTGAGATCAACAAAAAGCAAAGTTACGATTTCCTTAACTTTCCTACGCTTTGCACTCGTCATGCTTTTGGAGCGTTTGTTGTTGTCACGTTCTGACCTGCCCCTTAGGGGCCGTCCATAAATGACGTCACGCGATTTTGTAGATTTTTGACCCCCCCCCCCACTTCGTCAAACGGCGTCACAGAAAGTCAGACCCCCCCCCCCTCAAATACTACGTCACAAAGCTCTACCCCCCCCAAATATATATATAAAACATGCTTGAAATCGCTTTAAACTATTGTCATTGTAGTGCGTATTTAATGTGGCGCTGCACTCTGGTGTTGTAGGAGAAAACATTTATTAAAACGTCTGTTGAATTCAGCAGAACGTGTTGTCTATATTTATTTAAAGTTGCGCATTTTGATGTAACGTCACATTTCTCAACCTCCCCCCTCGTCACACATTGTCACAAATGTCTAACCCCCCCCCCCCCCCTAGATGCGTCACGTCATTTATGAACGGCCCCTAAACAAAAGCAAAGTTACGATTTCCTTCACTTTCCTATACGCTTTTCACTCGTCATGCTTTCGCATCGTTTGTTGTTGTCCCGTGCTGAGCTGCCCCTTACTGGACAAGTGCGAGACGACAAAACGCACAGAGAGAGAGAGAGCTTCACAGCTCGTCGTGATCACTCCCGCAGCGAGATCGCCAACAGTCTCGCTCACAACACAAGCGCCACGTGCCACTCGCCACGTGCCGTCTGGTGAATGTTCATGCGCAAGGAGGCGCGCAAGGGTGGACGGAGGTGGGGAGGTGGGGGGGAGGTGGGGGGGTGGAGATGTGGGGGTGGAGGTTTGGGGGGGAGGTGGGGGGGTGGAGATGTGGGGGTGGAGGTGGGGGGACAGAGGTGGGGGGGGGACAAAGGTGGGGGGACGGAGGTGGGGGGACGGAGGTGGGGGGGGCAGAAGTGGGGGGGGGGGCGGAGGTGGGGGGAGTGGAGGTGGGGGGGCAGAGGTGGGGGGGAGTGGACAGAGGTGGGGGGGGCAGAAGTGGGGGGGGGGACAGAGGTGGGGGTGAGTGCACGGTGGTGGAGGGGAGGTGGGGGGGACGGAGGTGGGGGAACGGAGGTGGTAGGAGGGCAGAGTGGGAGGGGGACAGAGGTGGGGGGTGGAGGTGGGGGGGGACAGAGGTGGGGGGAGGGAGTGGACGGAAGTGTGGTGGGTGGGTGGGTGCGAGATGCGAAGCTCGCGAGGTCTGTGCACAATGGCTGGAGGGAGGTGCGGGTTAAACGCGAGGCACGCCGCAGGAAGTGTCGTCACGTCATCATCATCATCGTGGTCATCCTCTCGGGGCGATGAAGAGGTGATCCCAGGGGGGGGGTGGGGGGGATAGTCAAGGGCCACACACACACATACACACACACTCGCACACACTCGCAGAGTTGCTGCTGCTGTTGTGTCGTTCTGTAGCTGTCAGCCACGCGCGTCGTCTTTAGAGGCCACGTGTCCCGTCCCTTAGTGCATCAACGCGCGTCTCTGACTTTGTACGGGTCGGTGTCTGGCAAGTGTTCACCCGTGTCGGGATTGTAGCGCTAACTAACCCGAGTTCGCGTGTTTATTGTTTGTTCATTTTTGTTTTTTTTTCCCCGCTGCGCAGTGTACAGTTCAGCGGAAGTGAACGCTCAGGTGCCGTGTTCGCTGCACCGCGCTGACGGCGTGGTGGTGTCAACACGGCCTCACTCGGGGTGACTAATAACTTCGACCAACTTCTACCAACTTCTACTAATTACTGTCACTGGTGGCCCGGTCTCAGTCGCGTAACGAGCGTGGGGGCAGGGGGGTGGGTGCCTTGACCACCCCCTGGTGGACACAGCTACGAGTTGCCCCCCTCCTCGTCAACGTCCACGAGATGTGTAATTGATTCTAGATTTGAAGCTTTCGTGACTGCAAGGATTCATATTTTTAGGTTTTTTCGGTAAAGTCACGTAGGTAAAAAATTAAAATTAATAAAGTAAAATAAAATAAAAATCACGACGTTTCGGAAGCAACACAAGCTTCCGTCTTCAGGTGGAACAGTCACAGCACGTGACATTACCGAAAAAAACTAAGAATATGTGTAATTGAATACACACATTAGGCAGGAAAGACAAGATCATAGGGCTCGCATAATGCACATACATAATGTGCGTTGACTGAGTAACTCCCTAACTCCCCCCACTTTGCGCAAGAGCGCAGAAGCGTGGGTCACCACATCTACGCCTCGATATCAGGAACGAAACAGGTGGACTTCTCCACATATCTGGCTGTCGCCTGATGAAGCTGGTTGTAATTACTGGCGAAACGTCGTACCCAGATTGCAAATGTTGTGGCTTGGCTCTCCAACACACCGGTGTACTGTACTAGTACACTACACTATACTCTACTATACACTACACTATACACGACACTACTATACACTACACTATACACTACGCTATACACTAATGCTGTACTAGTGACAAATTGGCCACGTTCTGTTTACGTGGCAACCCTTGCTAGTTGGCTGTGTCTGGTGGTGGCGGGTTTTAACGACACATTTACGTGATCTAACCACCCCAAAAAAACCTATTATGGATGATATTGGTCGCGAAAGCCTGCTACATGTTGAACTAAGTGTAAAAGAACAACAACACTTATTTAAAACCCGGTTTATTATGGTTTTTTTTTACAAAAATGAAATCCTTTTATATTCCACGTTTTAATTTTATTTTTCTCATATCAAATATTGGGGGCCCCCTGAGCTGATAATGTCACTCCGGCAACTACCATCTCCCCTGCGTCGCCTCTTCAGTGAGGGTTACTCATAATAACCCTGGGCTCTCTTGCGAAAACGTGAATCTTGCTCGGTCTGGAAGTGTGGCCCTTTGCCGGAAACGTCAGTCTAAATATATATTTCTGTTATGGGACACTGAGAGTGACGAATGAGTGCGTGTTTTCTCATTACTGCTTACCCGTAGGATTAGACTTGTCACTCTTTGAAAGATGCGGTCTCGCTGGGTTTCTCATTTGGTTAGTAACAGATGTCTATCCACTCTTACACATTTAGGAATTGAATTACCCTTCCCTTACGTGGCTTATCCATTAGGCATTCATGAACTGGTGTGAACGCGGGTCTCTTGTGCGTTTGTGAATATGGGATGTGATGATATCAATCATGTGCTCAAATATTGTTAAACAAAGCAAACTACTGAACCCATGCAGCTGCCTGTGATGGTCTCAGCCTAATCACCGTTGACTGTACGAAAGAAAGCATACTTTAATTTGGTTCTGCACCAAATTTGGCTAAGTTTAGCTTCCACAATGACAAAACTCGTATGCGCTGAACTTTGAGTGGGACATTGCTTTCCCTATCGTTTGTGGATTTAAGGGTCACTTGAAAAGTATTAAAAGTACTTCTTTGATATCCGCTGGCACGAACATTTCTCTTATTACTCGTGATGCACTGCTTTGCAAGATATGAGAATAGGTTTTCCCCTTTTTTCTGGCAACAAAACAGGTGTAAAGATGTTTAAACACCAAACTGAAACTTTTACAAGGAATCATGTCTGCATTAACCACAATACTTGTGGTCACAATGCAAACAAAGAACATACTCTGATAATGTATGCATTGTCTTTGAATCTGATTGGTCCACACCCCTTTACAAAATGCAGCTTTCTTTTTCACACAGTGTGATCGGATCTGGAGAGCGGTGAAAAACACATGTTTTATGGAGAGAAGTAAAAGCTCGGTCACCATCACACTTCCTTCGGTGAGTCCCGATGCACGAAATATCACACGAATACCAGCAGGAAGAGTGCACACCAGTGCATGTTCAGACAAAGTGAAGAGAGAGCGCGTGGATTGCAAGCCAATTCATCCTCCACCGCGGCAAACCGACTACAATTGTGGATGCGGCCGCAAAAGCGAGACGGTGCCAAAGCTCGAGAAATTATATAAATGTCACCTGTGTGTGATGTCCTTATTCTTAGGTTTTTTCAGTAAAGTCACGTAGGTTAAAAATCAAAATTAATAAAAGTAAAATAAAATAAAAATCACGACGTTTCGGGGGCAACACAAGCTTCCGTCTTCAGGTGATTTTTTACCTACGTGACTATACGGAAAAAACCTAAGAATATGAATACTTGCATTCACGAACGCTTCAAATCTAGAATGTGATGTCCTTGTTTTTTTATTCTTGCATCGGAACAGTGTGGGCGTTGAGCCCCGTGCCGTGCCATCAGATGGGCACGGGCTCGTCGCTGACGCCGGGCGGTGCGGAGCTGGCCCCGCCGGGCCTAGCCAGCCGCGGCTGCACCGAGATCCCCATCGAGATGAAGCCGCGGCAAAAGCTGGTGCCCAACGCGCGGCTCCGCTCGGTGGGGTCGGCGCGCCGCTTCAAGGGGGCCTCCTTCCGCTCGGTGACCTCCGTCGTGGACCTGGAGCTGGCGCCCGAGCTGGAGCGCCTGCGCAAGGAGTACGAGATCTTCCGCGTGACGAAGAGCAACGAGGTGGCCGACATGAAGCGCAAGGAGGAGAAGCTCGACTCGGAGAACAAGCGGCTGCGTGCGGAGCTGCAGGTGAATGGTCTCAGTGGACTTGCCTTTCGGTCACCTCATCGTCCCACGCCGTCTTCACGTCATCTTGTCATTGTAGCGCCTTTCCCTCATGTCGCCATCCCATTATCGCATCAAATCATAATCTCAATCGTGTCATCATCCCATCGTATAGATGAATCTAATTATATTGTTACAGTATCGTTCGTCCATCGTGTCATTGTCTCGTCATGTCATCATAATATAATGTCATGTCATCATCTCATTAAATAATCATCTCATAATTCCATAATTTTTTAATTGCAATGTCTCACATTTTTTCTATTAAGCCATCTCATGAGCTGATAACATGTCACATCATCTCTTTTCTGATCAACTCAATGTCTAATTATAAGATCTCTGAATTCATAATTTAATTTCACCTTGATATTGTCTGTACAGCATACCTGTCTGCCTACCTTTGAGACTGCCTGCCTGCCACATAGCTATCAGCATTTATACCTGCCTAGTTACCTAACTGCTTACCTTCCTAGCTAACTATCTGCCTGACTACCTTTGGAAGTGTAAATTGTAATCGATCAGGATCTTTATCTGAGACGAGTTACATTATTTACAAGGATGCCTACTCGTCAACAATACTCTGCACCAATCCGCTCCATCTTATCTCTCTAATCAGTGTCGACCAGTCTCAATGGACACCAATCGATGCTGTATACGATCTGCAGGCCATAGTTATCTACTATACCTTGTGCAGCGAGAGGACCAGTGCAGTTTCGGGGGCCTCCGGCCCGAAGATCCAGAACCAATTACCGGCATCAATCCAGTCAGATCTGCAACATACTTAAAACAGTGTGATTCCATAGAGCTTACTATGTGTGCACATTCGTGATAAACTGGATTCATGAAAATGCGCAAGTGTTCACTTACTTACTTGTCCACCCACATGCCCAACATGTGCACCTGCCTGCCTGCCTCCTGCCTGTCTGTGCAGGCGCTGCAGAAGAGCTGCCAGAAGCTTCGCGTGGAGAAGGAGGCGGCTCTCGAGGGCCGAGACCAGGCCATGGAACGAGCGGCCTCATTTCAGCAAGACCGGGACAAGGTTCAACGCCAGTTCAAGGTGATGTCATTGCCTGCATGTCACTCCTGCCCCAATCTCACTGTCTCTTTGCTAATTAACCTTTCATTATGAGCGGTGACAAGGGGTGGAAAAGTTGTAGAAAATAAGTCATGCATACGTTATTTTGTCTCTTGAAGTGTTGTTATTTTCCCTCAATTATTTATGAATGGAGTAATAATTCATGCTGAGAGGAACTCCATTCTCTAAGCGTCTGTTGTCGTCTTATTTGACCTGCCATTGGTACATTATTTAATCGGCAGTAATTCTTGCTTTGGGAACAATTTCGCTCAGCCACTGTCATGTTTATACAAATCCAAGTTGAATTATTGTTTCTATTATCTGTTGAGATCTAGATACAAGGTGGAATCGTTTGTGCAAATTTCAGTCTTTGAATCATATTCATAAGGTCCCAGATAATGCCTTATTATTGCTATTATTTCAAATAGGCCTGTATGTCCTGAAACCATTTCACATACTCTTGACCTCAATAACCAGAACACTTTGTGCAATAGTCATGAGGAGGCATATATATTTCTGCACGGCAGATGGCTTTTATTTGATATTGATGTCAGTGCAGAGAATAGTGGGGATAAATGGACATCATTGACTGAAGTGTCAGATTGTGTCAATGCCCAGGATGGGTTAGTCTCACTGTGCTTGTCACGGCATGTGTTGGAATTCAGCATCTTGATCCAAAGGTGCCCTGAGATCATCCCCGTGGTGCTTTGCAGGCATGGAATGATTTACTCCAATCAGAGGGAAAGGAAGTGTCATCATTTGGAATGGAGATTTGATTTAAAAAACAATCCCACTTCTTCACTTGTTTGCATAGTTTTGTATGTGTGCCTTCTCATTTGCCTATTTCGACTAAATGTAACTTTGAACATATAATTTGCATATATTGTAAATAATTATACAATTATTTCATGCATTTACCATGGGCATAACCATCAATTTTAATTAATTAACAATCAAGCTTAGTATAGCTGCAGATGAATTGCCCATGACGGCGGCACACAATGACACCCCTTCTCAAATCGCAGTATTTATACCATCAATAAAATGTACCTAATGGAAATACCATGGCTCATTTACGAGAGGGCCCACATTGGATTGGATCACTTCGACCGCGGTGTCCGTAGGCTGACGAGCGCCATTGCCGCGGCAGATATTCCGCGAGGCCAAGGAGAAGGAGGTTCAGGATCTGCTGAGGGCCAAGCGGGACTTGGAGGGGCGGCTCCAGCGCCTGCAGGTCTCCACTGGGGTTGGCGGCGCCGGCTCCGCCGCACCGGCCTGCGAGGGCGGTGACTCGGATGGGGACGAGACTCGCACGGAGGTGGCCGGTGAGATTAATTGTGGAGAGATCGATACGCGTGTGGCTTTGTTTTGTTGTTGTCTTTGCTGCAGGTTTATCACAGTCGTATACCAGTGGCGCCATCGGCATCGTGCCATGAGACGTGTTTCCCATTCGGAACTCTCGCAGAGCGTTGCATCGCCCCATATTAGAGAACAGCCCGGAGTTAGAAATATCACAGCTACTTACGAGATCTTTCAAGAAATGGATGCTGAACCTTCCCACCCTAACGATACCGAACTCTCTCTCTCTAATAACAAATGTTTTGTTTGTGGGATTTAATTTAATAATACATTTTCAGAACCTAAATATAGCCAAATTAAGCAAACAACCACGTGTAATAGATATGTGTATTTTGTGCATTGTAATAGCCATCGACTCACTACACCTAAGAATCTCGTTGAATCTAGATTGAAAAGTAATTTCATCAGAACTACTTTATTTGTTTAGTTTGTTGTCCTTCCCCTGCACCATTACCACAGTTGGCTACGCACGGTTGGGAACAAAGTTAAAAATACAAAAATACATAATCACGGGCAATGAAACCTGGAATCGAACTCAAGTCTCAGCAATGCCATCTCAGTCTTCTGACCACTGAGCCACCTGGTCACCTGTTTTTTTAGAGGTTCTACGTTGAGCATTGAGTGCATTTTCATGACTTCATAACCATGTCCTTTGCAGCGTTCAATACGTGTGGATATGTTAGTTTTTAGGCACGTGATTTGGAAGTGTTTCTAGAATGTGCTACTACTTAGAAGTTATTTGTGTATTTACTGCATATAAAAATGACATGCTACAATAAATGGAATGACATTTGTATGTTTCTTGTCTTTATATCACGAATGTACATTGTCTTTCACATTCCCATAATTTACCCGTGATGACAACTTCAAAATGCTTCTTATCTGAGTTACTTTGACAGCTGCCTACCATTGAAATCACTTTCTTATCGGTCTGATAACACACATTCATTTATAAATAATTATTTTAAAATATATCTTAAGTATATGACATGCTGAATTATCCCGTAGAGGGATATGTTGCCTATATTTTAAACTCAACAATGTAATGACTGAAATGTTTATTCAAAAAGTCATTTTTAAGAGGCAATGCAAATTTGGAATATTTAAAATTAAGAAATAAATGGATAGAATGTCTGCTTATCTGCAATATAATCATTGTTTTTCTGTGACAGTAGCAGCGCAAAACTGGATTCCCAGGCTCCACATCCTGAGGGAAAAATGATTTAGAGTAAATAAATAATTGATAACGTCATAATCGGAGTCTGAATCTAATGAACCCCTTACCTACCTGATCCTAAGGCAAGTTCTATTTTGCCATTGCATTTCAGGTCAGGGAATGCTGTGCGTACGCGAGCATTTGTGAATTTTTATATATATAAAATGTATAATCTTGAACTCATTGTTGATAAACACGTTTAATATGATTGTGACCTTGCTTTCTTAATCAATCTGTACGGAACCAAATTTCGAAAATGTCATTCCCATGAATTAGGTTTTAGATATGCTTTGCTTGCTACACATATCGTATATACATAGTGTACCTTGACCTGGTGCACAACATTAAAAGGCAGGGGAAAACGTGGCACACAATATAAACTAGTTGATACGTTTAGGAACTTAAATTCATGTTACATTGGTCACAGCTCAGTCACCAATGGTGGGACACAAAATCCCATCCTTAATGTTTATGTTTATTAGTTTAGGTGCTAGTTGGATCGTTACATGGGAGACGGCGGTGATTTTGCGAGTCCTTCATCCAACGGTGGATTGATAATGGCTGAGCATGATCATCAGCGCCATTGTCCAACGTCTTGAGATGTACTCGCATCTGGATGCTATGTGAATATGCATTCTATTGTATCATAGAACAGAGGGGACATACGGTCATCAACGGAAGAACGAGTGACTTGGATATGGGAAATTTAAAAAAGTTCAATCTTGACTTAAAGCTTTCGTGACTGCAGGAATTCATATTCTTTGGGTCTTTCGGTAAAGTCACGTATATAGGTTCAAAAATATTTTCTTTTAACCTATCTACGTAACTTTACCGAAAGACCCAAAGAATATTAAAGAAGTTCATCGAATGGGACAACTGGCAAAGCGGTCACACGGTGTCTCATTGGAGAGCCCTTGCCGGCCAGACTACCGCCGTGCTCTCTGTTGTGGGGTTACAGCGATGGCAGAGGGCTTACTTTGCTAGAGGGCTTCCACTATCAAGGCTGGCGACGAGGAACGCAAATATCACAAATATTGCTTTAAACTAAGACGATTATTGATGGTCTAGCTGGTCACTAAATAACTGCACAAAAAAACCCATGTTAAGTTTGATTTCTTTATTTGAAGCTTTACCGAAAGAACCAAAGAGTAAGTTTAATTTGTACATGCTATTTTAATTTGTACATGATATGGATATATTTCCACTTTGATTATAAAATAAAATATTGGTGTGACTGACACGTGAAATTCCCATAGCAGAGAGCATATGCAAGTGCATCCACTGCTGCATTAAGAATACATTTGCTGCTTAAAGGATTTATTAAGATAAGTCCTCTTTTCTGACCTATGGAGTATGCCCCTCTGTGAGATTTTCTAATGGATTCTTTGTTGTCGTGACATGCTGCTTATGGCACAAGTGGGGAAAAAAGATCAACAAGTTAAGGAAATAATGCATTTGCATGGCTTATCTAAAGCTTTCCCACACATGTGTATCTTCGGAAGTATTTCATTAGCAGTACAGAAGCCATCAGCAAGCATTCAGGGCAGGCTGACAGGTAGCTGCCTGCAAGTTTGGTATGGCATTTTATAAATTTGGCCGGTTTTCAAAAGGGAAAATCCCTAACAGCAGCAGAACATTATACCACAGTTTGGTCCATATTCGATCATCTTTACGTGCTTCATCATGCCTCACCTCCCCCCCCCCCCCCCTCCGTTACGCATGGATGGACCGACAGAGTGAATGCATACATGCTTTCAATTTTGGTTGGAAAGTAGAAAAATGAAAAGAGATAAAACGTGCTCAGAGCTCACGTGTAGCTGTCTTGTGGCGCAGGGTCGGCGGTGATGGGGAGCCATCCGTCGATGGGCAGCATGGTGCTGCTCGCCAACTCCATGAGAGGGCCAGAGCTGGCACACAGCCTCGTCGACCTGGAAGGAACTTTCACCAGCGTCAACCGTGGTGAGCCCTCCCCATCCACCTACCCACGGGTCCACCCACCCGCCCACTCACCTGACAGCCCGCTCACCTGCCCACCCACTCACCTGCCCGCCCGCTCGCCTGCCCGCCCGCTCGCCTGCCCACCCACTCACCTGCCCGCCCGCTCGCTTGCCCACCCGCTCGCCTGCCCACCCGCTCACCTGCCCACCCGCTCACCTGCCCACCCGCTCGCCTGCCCGCCCGCTCGCTTTCCCACCCGCTCACCTGCCCGCCCGCTCACCTGCCCACCCGCTCACCTGCCCACCCGCTCACCTGCCCGCCCGCTCACCTGCCCACCCGCTCACCTGCCCACCCGCTCACCTGCCCGCCCGCTCACCTGCCCCCCGCTCACCTGCCCCCCGCCGCTCCTTTCCACCCGCTCACCCGCTCGCCTGCCCGCCCGCTCACCTGCCCGCCCGCTCACCTTCCCACCCGCTCACCTGCCCACCCGCTCACCTGCCCGCCCGCTCACCTGCCCACCCGCTCACCTGCCCCCGCTCACTGCCCGCCGCCGCTCTCGTCCCTCCCACCCGCTCACCTGCCCACCCGCTCGCCTGCCGCCCGCTCACCATGCCGCGCCGCTCGCTTTCCCACCCGCTCACCTGCCACCCGCTCACCTGCCCACGCGCTCACCTGCCCGCCCCGCTCACCTGCCCGCCCGCTCGCTTTCACCCGCTCACTGCCCACCCGCTCACCTTCCCACCCGCTCACCTGCCCACCCGCTCACCTGCCCGCCGGCTCGCTTGCCCACCCGCCCACTGGCTGCCTCTACACTGTGACACACACATCACATTTTTTTCATTCATAACTTGTGAACTCTGTATAGTTAGGGCAGAATTAACTGCAAAGTATGTGGGGATTCCTTAAAAAAATATTGTGAGACCATGGTACAAGGCACATGCATTCTAGTGGCTTTGGAGTTTGGGGATTACATTTATTTAAGTTTGAATTATTGGTTCTAATGAGAGTATAGACAATGTATCCAGAAGTCAATAGATAATGACTAATTATTATCTTGTGTTATTTAAAATATTGAAATATGCCAATTGTATTGGCTAGACCACTGCATACTATTGCACTTGGATTAGTGTGTTTTTGGTTGTTTATTTATATATTTAAATTAAACTGTAATCCTAAAATATCCCTCAGGCATTACAATTATTACAAATGGGTACACTTGTACCCTACGGCAAAATATATTGATAAGAGCCTTCCACCATCTTTTAGACTAATATAATATCCATTACCACGGTGAAATTGTCATTTTGTCGCGAGCTGCGTGACATTCTGAAATCTATGACGGTTCACAGTGGAGCACGCTGATAAACCATGGACGCAATCAACACTGAACAAAAGTAGCAGCAAGCGTTGGCTCGCGTCATCCGTCGAGAAATGGTCTGCGGTTAACGGGCGATTGAAATAGCCCTCTTGCGTGACGTTTAGGTAGTCAATGATCCCCCCTACGCCTGCCTTGCTGTCAAAATTACAACATGCCATTCAATAATGCGCATTAATTAATGTCCTAATGAAACAAGCGGACCTGTAGGAGTCGCCTCGTAAAGCCACGGTAGCAGGCAAATGTTAAACGTGTCGCCATAGCAACATGATTAGCTTGACGATTTTGCCATGGTAACGGAAATGACCCGAGACTTAAAGCTGCCGATAGAATATTACAAATGTATTTTACCGTTGAAGTGTGCCCCTTTATATTAAGATCAATGGCAAATGTATCTCTTTACAAATATTTAAATAAAGATAATTTTAAAATATTTAAGGCATTTATTCTGACCGTGCTATGTCGTAGTGCTCAGTTGCAAATTGTGAATCATTTCACAACACTATGATATTTATAAAAAACAAATGATCGTTGCCAATGGGCACAGATTTCCGTGTGCACTTGGAGCCTTTGTTGACACGCGGAAGGTGTTTTATGGAACAAATAGTGATGTGCTTATAGCAGTAGCCATTAAATTTGTTTACCAAATAAAATTGGTTGTTTGTTTCAGTACCGTCAGTTCACACCGCTATTCATGAATATGTTTTACATTTTACCATGATCGTCTAACTTATGTCATTACACCTTCATAACAAAAGGTCAGAATCACCTTTTAAAGGTATATATTATAACAATATATATATATTTGAATACACCGTTGTACGATGGCAATGATGATATCTCGCATTTGCCTCTCCTCGCTCGCTCTCCCAGATGACTGGAACTCTGCACTGAGTGGGCTTCTGCACGGGCCCTCCTCCGGCAGCCACGCTCCACACAACAACACTCTCCGCTGCTACATCATGAGCTGTCCGGACACACAGCAACACGCCGATCTCTTCGTGGCCGTAAGCGAGCACCCATCATTCATCATTCAACCCGTACCACGAGCACTGTCACCCATTAATTGTTGTCATCATTGGGATTTGAATTAGCAACATCCATTTCGCCTACATGACGGTATTAGTTTTGTATAAGGTAACACGAAGACACATGTTAGGTGAGCCATAATTAGGCTACTGTCTCCCATCCAGACCTCGACAATGGCATTTAGCTTCTGACCATATTTCCATATGCAAGAATAGAATCTTCATTCGGGGTGTCAAGATACAAATGATTGTCACAGTTGAGGGTCACGATTGATTTAAGAATCCATTTTTTTTTTACGCTGCGGTGCATGTCTCTCGTGGCTGGAGGGGTCATGCGAATCCATTACCTTTAACATATATGCATTTTAAAGCATTGATTCTTGCGCAAGAAAATCTGATGCATGTTCTCATGAGCTTAAGAAACACTGTTAATCGACGCATTGTTACACCCCTAATCATTATCATCATCACGGGTGATGTTTTTATTTTATAAAAATGTTCTAAAAATAAATCAAATGGCTCTTAAGATATTTTTTATTCTTGTTGTCATAGGAATGTCATGAATATATATTTTTTGCGTGTCTCATCGGAGTACCCCATATTGTCAACAAAGGCACAGGGAGCAAGAAAATATCGATCGCGACCTAACTGAACTTCACCCACTATCGCGCCCAGCAAGCGTCTCTTATCTGATCTATAGAGGGCATGCTTTAGCTGCCGGGTACCACTGCCGACTCTCGGTCTGACACTGTCTTTGTTCCCGCGTAGCTGTCGGGCGCAGTCAGATGAAGTGCGAATGCAGATTTATGTTGGGAGGGGTAGGGGCAGTGGGAAGAGCGGGGAGAGGGGGGGGCGCTTGTTGTTGTGCGTTTGTCAGCGTCTGGGCTGACACCATCAAACATGCCGCACATGAAACCCATCTTAGCCTGGGGGCCACTTGGGGCTTGAACCGTTGGTGGAGGCGTTCGCTCGGTATTCTGTACCAGCCAGTAACCTGGCCCTCAAACTGCCGGCTACTTATCATGTGCAACATTGTGACCCTGCGAAAAAAAAAACCAGCCACCTCCTTGGACAGATTTTGTGATAAATGCGAGAGTTTTGAATATGTGTACGTTAATTCTTTTGCACTCATCAATCTCTCTTAAGGTGTAAAGTCTGTGAAGTGTGAAGGACGTCAGCCTTTTGGGAGTGAAAAATGAGCCGAATAAAAATAAGATTGAACCAAAAAAAACAAGCGGTACACAGTATAAATGGGATATATAAGAAAAGGAAAAAATTGCTCCTAGGCATTGGGGGTTTATTGGTTTTTGTGCGTTTTTTTTATAAGGTAGACTGAGGACAGCTGAAGCTTGCAATGTGTGAGAGTGGCTCTGTTAAGCAGAGTAGTGACAATAGCTCCTCCCTCCTGCATGCAGCATTTCGTAAACAAGCCACTTCAGGCCTCAACTCTGAACCCACACGTAGGGCACATTCAAATAACAAAGACTCAACGCATTCATCAATAACACTGCCCCAAAAGGAGGGGAGGGGGCGGGCGGAAATCTATAATAGGTGACGTTTTGGGCGGTAGCTTTGCTTCGTCTTGTCTCAAGAGAGATGAATGGCCATTGTTGATTGTGGTTGTGCACCAAGCCCAACGCCTTGTCACAATTTGTTGTTGTTAGATTTTATCCTTATGTCGGTACCCCGGGGTACGAAATAATACAAAATGGCCGAGGCAATTAAATATTTTATTTCTGGGACACTATTTTGTCCAGAGCTGCACTTAACTCCGCGACTGGGCTACCAATCAATCCGAAATCAGTGCTACTCCACGAAGTCGAAACGCAGCGAGGACGATTGCGCGGAAACCCTGAACGCTCGTATGCACCATAGTGGTGCATTGTGCACAGCTCGTCGAGATGAGTCGATTGCCGCATCGCCGACCATCATCAGACTAAAAATGACTGCATCACGGACATTATGCGAGAGCTGGGGAACTATGGTACCCAGGGGTACCGCCATAAGGTTCATTTGGATAAGATCACATAGTGAGTTGATGTCGATTATTGGAAGTGTGATTCTAGGCTGTATTGCAATAGAATGGGAAGAATTATAGGATACCTACGATTGTTCAAAAATAAATTTCCCAGTAGAACTGATTATAATTAAAACTGATTTAATATGCATTGATCTATTAAAGTCACGGCACATTCATCAAATAATTTGATTCACAGCGGACGCGAACGGCATGGAAATGCTACACTTCGGTTAAACAAGGTTGCATGAGCGAGACGCAACAAATGATAAGTGATGCAAATGAGATGGATAAAATTATAAAAAAATTTGACAATTCTGTGCGTCAGAGTAGAGGGGGGGCGGGTAAATCGTCATATGCCTTTTTATTTGCATGCAATAGGTAGATAATATCCCCTCCCTTTGATGCTGCTAATCCTGCATACTGTACGGGCATACGTAGTACTAATCACATACCTGCATTTCCCATATCCCCTCCCTTTGATGCTGCTAATCCTGCATAATGCACGGGCATAAGTAGTACTAATCACATACCTGCATTTCCCATATCCCCTCCCTTTGATGCTGATAATCCTGCATAATGCACGGGCATAAGAAGTACTAATCACATACCTGCATTTCCCATACATATGCTAAATTCCTCTTGATATGCAAATTCCTTTGTCAAGGCGCTCTTCCCCCTCCAACTCAGCTTAAATATACGCTGCCAAGCCTGGTGGTGTTCATTGAGACGCTGTCTTTCTGACAGACCTGTTCTTCACCTGAGGACGGCTGCTTGCGTTGTGGCCGAAACGTCGTGAGAATTCTTTTATATGTTTTTTAAAATTATTTAATTATTTCCATTCTACGTGACTTTACCGAAAGAACCAAGAAGCGAAAAAAGGCAGATTATTTTCGGAAGCTCGCACTACGGGCTGCCATGTGACCCGGCCTGGCCCCACTTCGCAACCTCTTCAACGTCCATGGGCTATCACTGCTCGGCAGCTCCAGAAACCGCGGTGCTCTCTCGATTCTCACTTGAGTGTGGCTCATTTAACACTGAATTGGGTTTTTATATTTACTTGGTTAAATTGTACCCTGCAGCCGCACACGCGTGAACCCAGCGGCATTAACCCGTGCAGCGTTAATGCATGTGTCATTGTCAGTTGCATTGAGAGGTAAGTGATAAGTGTTTGTGTGTTAGAGGTTTCATGTGAGTACAATTGTGAGTGTGTTTTTTTTATATTCGCATGCAAATTATGAGAGTATCCATTCGATGTGGGTGCGTGTGTACGCATACGACTGTGATTCTGTGTTCCTGTGATCGTATTCATGTGTGTTTGTTTTCATATGTGTGCGCATGTTCCCTTGTGTTCTATATATGTTCACGTGTTTGTGCATTTGATTGCATGCGTGTTCTTGTGTTTTTTACATTTGGTATTTATTTATATGTGTGTGAGCAGTGGTCTAGCGGTTAGCGCGCTGCGCTATGAACCCGGCGACCCAGCTTCAATTCCCGCTCACGGCCAACACCAGTGACGATTATCTGAACCGTTCCTGGGCCTCCCTAGGTCAACTCAGCCTCAAATGAGTACCTGGTGCAGTGTGTCAATATTGCCACTGGGGAGACAAAGGCGGTCGGGCGTGGTGCTTGCCACCCACCCCCTCGTGTATTGTTCTGGCCTTCATAGGTGCTCACTAACAGCACTTGCCCTTACAGTATGCTAAGGCTTTACGGGGGATCTTTGTTATATTCATGTTTGTGCTCGTGGCTGAATGTGTGTATACGTATGTGTGTATATATATGTCTCAGCGTTTGTGCGTCCTGTGTGCATTCATTCCTGAATTAGTTTTTATATTCGCGTATGTGGTCATGCACAGGGACTGTCCGTTCATGCTAATTGAGCGTATTGTATTTGTGCGTGTGTGTGTGTGTGCGTGTGACTGTGGGAAAACATCGGCACTGGGGAGACAAAGGCGGTCGGACGTGGTGCTGGCCACCCACCCCCTCGTGTGCCCCATGCCAGGCCTTCATAGGTGCTCGCGAACAGCGCGTGACCGAGCAGCATGTTAAGGCTTTTGTCTTTGCATGCGTGCGTCTGCAGCGAGCCGTTCCCGAGCTGCAGAGCGCGTGCGAGGCGCGGGGACACTTCTTGGTGGCCGTGAGCTTTGGCGGCACGGAGCAGAAGGCGCTGCGCGAGAGCCGCAGGAGGGAGATCGCCGGCGCAGCGCTCCTCCTTCTCTTCCTGGGCCGCTCCGTGCCGGCGTGAGTCCCCCACGAGCACTGGCTCCGAATCAGTGCCATTGTTAATATGCGTCACGTGTGTGTGGAACGATGGATGCTTTCGGTTAGAATTGACTCTTTGTGTGTTTGTGTGATTAATCTTATAACACACCATTTTTCTGTTACCATAAACTTTAACCTATGATCCATTACCTACCCATTTTTGAACCCGAATACAGTACAGTATTATAAGCCTAATTTTTATTATATGCCAAATTATTTCCCAGAACTATATACAATGCCCAAATGTGTGCTTAATTCTTCATGCTAAGCTCTTGTCCTTCATCCTGCCCTTATATCTCACCCTGATCCTTGACCTCAGGTCTCACCCTGAATTACATTTTCATAAAAATCTTCATCCCTATCCTGCCAGTTTGTGCCGTTGGTAATGGGTTGATCCTCATTCGTAAGGTCGTAGGTTTAAAACCCCTTGAGGGATCAACTTGGGTTGGGGGGAGCACATCTTCTCGGACCCCGTGCCTGCACAGAGCCAACACAATGGCGACGAATGTATTTTAGTGCACACATACATCGGAGAACCGGTGTAATTGCACTTGGCCGACTTGATTCAAACCCATGATCTCAACGGTGCCGTCTCAGCGCCCTGACCCTCTGAGCCTGCCCAGCCACCTCCTTGGCTCGGTTCGTCGTAACCATGCCGGCCCTTTCTCCTCCGGCTGCTGCCGTGCCGAAGGTGCGTGGCGGAGGACTGCGAGGAGGCTTCCCTTCGGCAGGCGGAGGCGTCGAGGCCGCTCGCCATCGCCCGCTGGGTGGGAGGAGGGGCGGACGGGAGGGGGGATGCGGCGAAGGGAGACGCGGACTCGCCCGGGGCTCTGGTTGCGAGTCTAGCCGCGACGAACGCAGCCCAGCAGGTCAGAGTGAGCGGAGCCCCCTTGGGCCCTGGCCTGCGCTTGCAACGAGACGAAGCGCGACGTGCAAAAACTTAAGCAGCGCAGGAAAACCACGCACGCGCATAAATTACGTGACGCCTTCGAACATGCACTTGTCCTTGGATGTGGAACCGATCGGTAACCGTGTGGGCAAAATATATTTGCATACTTACTGATAATCATTTTTGCTCTGCTTTGTATCTTCACGTTTTGAGTAACTCTTTGATGAATGTGGCCGGCTTTCAAGTCCCTAATGTACGTATGAATGTTGAATTTCTTTCGCATCATACGTAGCCAACTGTGCTAATCGGAAGTGTAGCTAATAGCACAACTATGGACTACAGTGTAGTTCATATTCGCTCATGTTTACGATAATTTTAGTGTCCCCCCCCCCCATTAGAGATTTGTCGGACGTACCATCCATAATGGCAGAGCATTATACAGACAAAGATTCCCCATGTAACCTTTGTATACTCTTGGGATAAGTGCTATTGATGAGCACCTTTAAAGGCTGGTAGAACGCACAAGGATGTCGTGTGGCACATATCTTGCCCGGCCACTTGCTGACGTTTACGTATTGCGCCGGGTACATATTTTTGACTCGGTCATAAACTCTAAATTATTTTTACTTTACCAGGTTAGGCCCACTGAGCTACATAGCTCTTTTTCAGAAGCGACTTGGCCGCAAATTATAGCTCATCACGTGGAAGTTTATAGCAACCAACAACTCTGAACTCAGGTTGATTTTAATGCAAACTCCAACTAAACCGGCGTCTGGGTTGGGATCGAACCTACGACCTCCTGTGTTGCAGACGAGGTAGTTAACATCCTGTCACCGTGGCGCTCGTTTACATCTCGCCAAGTCAGCATCGGGGAGGCCCAGAACCATTTCAGATATCACGAGCCATTGATGTGCGCTGTGGCCTGGAATCAAACGCTGGATTGTGCTGCTGTCTGCTGATGGTGTCACAACCCAGCAGGTTTGGGAGCTTCGCAAATTGACCTGATCCACCAACCCTTGTCTCCAAACCTCTGGATTATAGGCTTTCGACCACACCTCCATCAGTATGTGCATTTATACTACGTGTATTTTCCAAGTTGAATTGTCAGAGTTGCGACTAAATCCTGTTTCCACTAATTCTGGTTTCATGTAATGTATATGTTACTCTTTTAATTATGAAGGTATGAGTGTAGCTTAAATGTTGTATGGTTTTATTGTATGTAAGAATGTGTTTTTATTACATAGGATTAATATTTTCCAAAATGCTGGTTAGTACTTGGCCTTTTAATGAGCAAAACATTCTGCAACTAGTTAATCATCTTGGACCTGAGGCCCTATTGTATATATATACACATTGTTCACAAGATATAATCTACACACACATTTCTTTCAGCTAAGCACCGTTTGCTCTTTGAAAGAGAGTGTGTTTATTGATTGTAATACACCAGACTTGAATAACAATGATCGTAAACATTGGCAGTGCTGCAGCATTCAGAGAACAAATGTGCCTTTAAAAGCATTGTAACTTTCTGCCACCAGGTTATTGAGTACAGCGATCTGGAGGAAGGAATTGAGAGGTTGCAGGCTCACGTTGGAAGAGTCATTAAGCGGGTACGGATGATCACACGTGCACTAAGCAGCACGAACACCCACAGCACGGTACGGTGCAAAATAAGTTCAACATACATACAAATACAAAGATCCCCCATATAGCCTTAACAGACTGGTGGGGGAAGTTCTGTTAGCGAGTAGCACTTATGAAGGCCGGCACGGCACATGAGAGGGTGAGTGGCCAGCACCACGCCCGACCGCCTTTGTCTCCCTATAGTGGCGATGTTTTTACACCCCGCACCAGGTACTCGATTGAGGCCGAGTCGACCTAGGGAAGGCCCAGGACCGGTTCAGATAATCGCCACCGGGTGTTGGCCGTGAGCGGGAATCGAACTCGGACCGTCGGGTCCGTAGCGCGGCGCGCTCATCGATACACGACCGCTCCCAACGACATACACACACACCTCCACCTGCGAGCCACACCCCCCCCCCCCATGCACTTGGGAGCGTGCGTGCATCCACCCACCACGTGCGTCTCTGTCGTCCGTCAGGAGCTGCGGAGGTGGAGGGACGGCAGCGGCGTCGACAAGGTTTCCGCCGGTGCCAAGATGATCCGGGTGGCCGAGGGCCCCGGAACCCCCACGAAGGCCCCCGCAACGGACGGCGGCGGCGGGGGGGGGCGGCCGCCATCCTCTCCCGCACCGGGGCGGCCAGAGGGGAGCAACGGCGACGGGGGAAGCGCTGCGAACGGTGCGGGTGGTGGCAACGGCGAAGGTGACGAGGAGGAGGGGGAGGAAGATGAGGAGAGGGAAGTCGAAGAGGAGGGACCAGGCGACTTGCTGTGGGACCGCCACCTGGAGCAGGAGCAGCAGGAGGCCCTGCAGATGGCGGCCCAAGCTTCCTTCCCGCTCGGGCTCGAGAAGGTGTGCTCCGTGCTTCCCACACGTCTCCTTGTGTCCCCCCATGCGCCCCATGTACGATTTGCTCCCCCAGCTCCAGGTGGAACCACATTGCCCCCCACCATTCCCACTTCGGGGAGCTACGTGGGGGTATGGGCAATGCCTAGGATTGCAACCTCACTCCTGAGGTAGAAGAAACTGGGACGTATAAGGGGAATGAAGAATATCCCACAAAATCGGAAGAGGGGAGGAATTACAACTAAACGCTTTGCATGCTGAACTTCTTTCGCACCCTACGTAGCCAACCGTGCTAATCGGAGGTGCGGGGGAAGGACAGCAATGAATGGCAACCCTATTTCTTTGTGCTCCATGTGTGCCCATGTACTTCATCCTTGCCCTGTGCTGAGTGTGTCCACACTGCCTCTTGGGCCTGCCTTGGGTTCTGTGAATCATACATTCCCTTGCTGAAGATTTTGTTGCCCTTTCGCATTCATGCTAAGAGTTCCATTCAGTATACGACGTAAAGTAACCGCAAAGTTAAAGGGAGGAGGAATACATTTCGATTTAAATCTTTCGTGACTGCAGGGATTCATATTCTTGGTTCTTTCGGTAAAGTCACGTAGAAGGGAATCATAAATATATAATACAATTCTCACGACGTTTCGATTGCAACACAATGATGATTGCTTGTGTTGCAATCGAAACGTCGTGATAAATGTATTATTTAATTTGTATTATTTTATTATTTCCCTTTTATGTGACTTTACCGAAAGAACCAAGAATAGGAGGAGGAGTAGTCACACGGCTTGCGAAAATTAGCTATATATATGCAATTTTCTTTGGCTTAATGTTTGAATTATTTTACATTCCTCTGAAAATGTCAATATATTAAGAGGAATGACAGTTTTAAATGTAATATTAAACTAACACGTTCGAAACCATTGCATGATTTTAAAATCTCTTTCTAAAATGTATATGTATGCGTGTTTACCGACACACGCACAGACACACGCACTTGGCACATAAACAAACATAGCAATTTCCCTTCGTTGCAGAGTCTCCGTAATGTGTACAGCCTTCCCTAAATTGTACAGAAAAGGTGTGCACGGATCTCCAGAGGCTTTTGCCAAACTCTGCACTCAGGCTTTTATTTGTTCCATTAAATTCCTTCCCGTGCGCGCGCGTGTCCCTTGACAGTATCTGCAGAGGCTGCACGACCTGGTGGCCACCCCGGGCCCCACTCCTCCTCTGCTCGTGTCCGGGGGCCCTGGGTCTGGGAAGTCCCTGCTGCTCACCAAGTGGTGCGTGTGCCGGCCTTTTGGCGATCCGATGCGTGACGACTCGCCCCCACTCGCAATTCTACGTGTTGTGGTCGCGATTCTTCGTCGCTCGCGTCGGCAATCTCCGTTGTGTTATTGGTGTTTGGTCTGCTGCCACTGTACAGTTTCATTTGCGCTGTAAGGCTAAACGTAACATTGGCGTATAACTTGGCGTTGATCATAAATAATCGATTATCTCCCACACACACATTATTTCAGGCATGTACCTTCATTTCAAGTATATATATTATTAATAAATTATTATGATGGTGAAGATGTAGCTCTCTCTGCCTTCTTTCTCGCCCGACCTTTCTTTTCACCGCCCACCCCCCCCCCCCCCACTGCTTTCGTCTAAGCGCCTGGTTTATGGAGCCCCTCTTCCACTTGAAATTAAATCCATAAATAATTACAATGCCCCGCGTTTAAAATGCAGCCGCAAACGCTACCTCGGCGGAGGTGGGGGCGTACTCTCAAGTGCGTCTTCTATCACGGGGTGACCTGTGGAGGTGTTTTTTTTATCGGTAATGGTCGAATGTAATGTGGAGCATTTGTTTTGTCATAATGTTTCCATCATGACTTCCTATGCCGTGAAGTTAATCTTCCATTTCGCGTCGTGCAATGCATTTTGGTTATTGGACAATAATGCATATTATCGCGGCTGTAAGTCAGATTTTTTGACTGTTTTATCGCCGGCTCCCACCTATCTGCGTGTCGCATTTATATCATTTAGCGGCTCGAACCTCGTGAGAAGGTGCCTAATAAATGAATCATGATAATGGTGACAATGGGGTTAGGCATATATCATGGCTATGATGTTGCTGCTGATGATGGTGATGCTGCTCATAACATTGGTGATGGCAATGATTGCGATGCCTTTTGTCCAGTTCTAGCTCTCAAATTCCTTTCCACGTCCTGTTCACTATGACCGTAGCGATGCATTGCTTTATAACTTCAAGCGTCTTCTTGTGATCACGATACCTGTATTGAATCACGTGCCTGCGGATGAATAATATATTTTTAGCTCACATATGTTGTAAAAGTACGTGGGCTTGGGCAGGACACATCACAGCTCATTTGAGCAGGGAATCGCTCTGAACTTGGTGCTAACACTTCTGCTAGCGTGAGCGATGCAGCTGATGCTGATGCTGACGCCGTGGCTGCCGATTCCGGTGCAGGATAGAGACGCTCCAGACGCACTCCCCCAGTAGCCTGGTGCTCTACCACCTCGTCGGACAGCCCTTCTCCTCGAGCGCAGACCCCGCACTCATGGTTCGACGCTTCATTGTCAAGGTGAGACTCACAGTCACGGTGAGTCTCATAGTCAAAGTGGGTCTCATAGTCAAGTTGAGTCTCATAGTCAAGGTGAGTGATGGTCAAGGTGAGCCTCACAGTCAAGGTGAGTGATACAGTGTTACATGCAAATGTACAATATTTTATATTTTTATGAGTTTTACAATGCTTCCCTTTTTACTGAACTGTAACACATTTCAAAAACGCCGACCATATGTGTGTTTAAACACGGTCACATTACAGTGTTCCGACTCGCGGACGGGTCCCGGGAACGAATTGTCACGTTTGCGAGTCGAGAAACTGCCCGCAGTTTGTAGTGGTCATTGGGCCGGCATTACAGCCGTCGCCGCCGCCGTGTGCGCTGTGCTGCTGCTGCTGCAGTTGCTGCAGCACATGTGGTGGGTGCCTGTGGCGGGCCCCGACGGCGCGCGGCTGCTGGAGGAGCTGCCCTTCTGGCTGGAGCGGCTGTCGGCGAGGAGGCAGGGCTGCATCATCCTCCTCATCGACTCCATCGACCGCATTCAGGTTTCTTGGGAGACGTGGCCGGGACCCCCCCCCTCCCCGCGGTAGACGCGAGGGACACGATGGGGGACGACAAGGAAGGAGGAGGGGAGAGGCGTGGGAGGAGGAACATGGTGATGGCAGAGGGGCAGGAGGAGGGAGAAGGGAGGAGGGGGAGGGAGGAACGGGATGAGGATGGAGGAGGAGGGGGATGAGGAGGGGAACGAGGAGGGAGGAGGGGGAGGGAGGAAGTAGAATAACGAGGTGGAAGATGTAAAGCTGGGGTGAAGGAGTCAGATGAGTAGGAGCAGAATGCTAACGATGCAGGAGGTTATATGCCACATACCACGTCCATTAAACATATCGACATTTTAAGTTGTTTATTAAATCCTTCAACTCTTCAATTTTGTTTTATCATTCCCAATAAAATAAATGATAGTCTCGTTTCCAGTCCGTTGGTACATTTCGGAGAGCAGCGCGCCTCGAGGCGACGATGGCGGTTTGTCGTCGATCGTCGGTTACCAATGTCATGATTGTGCTCGCCGGTGTCGCCACCTGTGCGGCAGCATGCGGAGAGGCACCTGCCGTGGCTCATCGACCCCCTGCCTGTCAACCTGAGGGTGGTGGTCTCCGTCAACGTGGAGACGTGTCCTCAGCCCTGGAGGTACTGCCACGGGCGCTGATTCAAGTGGGCGGAAGCCGCCCCCCGTTAGGGCTGATCAAAAAAATTACCCCCGACTGGATGGCGCTGTGGTTAGAGCACTCAGTCTCGCATCGGAGTCCACACGTGTTTTAAATAGCCCACGTTAGCTTCATCAGATAAAATTTCGATGTAAAGCTTTCGTGACTGCAGGGATTCATCTTCTTGGTTCTTTCGGTAAAGTCACGTAGAAGGAAAATAATAAAGTAATAAAAATAAAACATGATAAAATAATTAAAAAAATAAAACATTATAAAATAATTATTTTATTATGTTTTATTTTTATTACTTTATTATTTTCCTTCTACGTGACTTTACCGAAAGAACCAAAAAGATTCTTCAGATTACTTTGAAAAACTCCACTCATAATGCTTGAATGTGCCATCTCCCCATGCATAGCCACAACAATGAACTTAATATTTCACCTTTTCATCCACTAATCTGCGAACTCTCAACAAAAGGCTACCCTCTGGACAATGACATTTTGTGAACTATCAAGTTTTCCTCGCAGGACTTTCTCCTCATTTGAAAGTTTACGACTTCAGTTGAGCGGTCTCCTCGAAAAACCTACGCAGCTCATGGTTAATTTATTTTAATGAAAATACTCCTCAGGAACTAATTGCTTCTCTGGGCTAACAAATACACATGACGTGGCCATTGGTCTTGGTGAGTTGCGTGATTGGGTTAGGGAGTTGTATATTTTTATTGAAAGCATGCAAAGTGCCCTCTGATGACCACACGGACATATGGGCAGATATAAAACATCTTGGTCATGACAGTAAGCAGCCAATTGTCTCTGTTAAAAAAATAAAGACACTGACTTGCGTCAATGTGTACTGGTGCTCGTGTGTGCTCCATATATCTGCACCCATATAAGTAGCGTGAATGAGTCGGCTGGCAATTTGGCGTGGGGCACACAAGTTGAAATTTTATTATGTCATTTTTTTCAAAGTATTTTTTTAAGTCTCTGATCAGTGTCTCATGAGTCTCTGATGGAGACTACAATCCTCCGAAGGTGGTCGGAACATCTCATTGATACAAAAGTAGGCTGACGCGAGCCTACATACGTTGTTTGTCACGCGTGCGGTCACGTTGCGTGCGCGCACTCCGCAGGCTGTGGCCCACCCTTCACCTGGACGCCTTGAGCCCGAGCCACGTGAAGACCCTTATCCAAAAGGAGTGCTCCACCGTGGGACTGAACCTCACCGACCACCAGGTGGGACAGGGCCCAGTGCACGATGTTCGCTCGCTCTGCACGTCGTGCGTAGGCCACGTAGCCCCCCACCACTTACATTGCTTGTGACAACCCCTTCCACCTTTCAGCCGATTAGTGCTGCATAGACTAAGCATGGGGTACAGCAGTGGCTCAGCATTTAGCGCATTGCGCTTTGAATATGGCGTGTCGTTAGCTACCTTATATGTATGTATGTTGTATGTAGCCAACCGTGTTAATTGGTGGTGTTGCCAGTTCGTTGAACTTCTTTCGCACCGTACGGAGCCAATCGGAGGTGCGGTGAAGGACATAAAACTAACCTCTAAAGAAATGAGTTTTTAATCTCACAATGCCAGTGTGTTATCGGGGCCAGCACTGGGAAGACAAAGGTGGCACCACCTCCCCCTAAAGTGCTACGCTAAGCGTAATTGGCCTTTGCTAACGGATCCTTGCCCTGCCAGCTGATCGCGTGAAGTAAGGGAGGGGGGGGGGGGCTCGTCCTATCTCTCTACGTGTATAAAATTGTGGTGGAGCGCTAGCGCAGTGGTTGGCACCCTGGGCTTTGAACCTGGCGAGCTGAGTTTGATTCATGGTCGTGGCGAACGTGACCGGCGAGCGCTCTCCGCACCAGTCCCGAGCCTCGCCGTCCTTCACTAAGCTGCACCGACCAGAATGGTGAAGTATGGTCAAACAACCCTCATTACTGGCACGGTTTGGGGAAGCCTTCATCCAAGCAGTGCGCTCACAAAGTTCCGTAACATGTGATTGTTTAGAATGTATTATATTACACATTTAACAATTTGCCTCCCTCACAGATGATTTGTTATGATTTAGGGTCATGATTCTAGAATCAATTATTTGGCAACTGTGGCACATTTAGCATCTCTAGTGGCTGCAGAGTTTGCACACAACAACCTCAATGATTCTTACATGCACGATTACATTTCATTATAGTGAGCTTAACAATTGATTTTTAATCCACGAATAGATGCATCATGCTTAATATGAACAACATCAATCCAAGCCCACCTGTCTTTCCCAGTATATTTAAGATTCTCCCTGCAAACGTCAATATTCCCGAAAGCAGGCCACTCGGCCCAAGCATCGAGATCAATTCTTTCCACTCGGTGACAGGAAATAAAATCCCTGCAACCTTTTTTTAAATAAACAACCCATCATTCAGCGTACGTAAACATTTACAAGCATTGGTCCTCCGGTGGCAGCACCGACTCGATAATGTTATCCGAACAAAAACTTTCGATTCGGCAAGCGCTCGCCACAGCGTCCCCCCATTGCCTGGCGCAGGTGTCTCGTCGATGTGTGAGACAACGGCCGTGTTCGCAAAGCCGTTTCGCATTTTGCAGCTCGTGTACCAAATCATATTTTTCACTCGGCACCCATCTCCCACGAGGTTGTCAGAAGCCGCTGCTTAGGCGGAGGCTTGCTAATTAAGCTTCGTGTATTAATTTGTCGACTGAGTGTGCTGAGCGTTCCCCCCTCCCAGTGTGAGGCCGTTGCACCTTTAATGGGACAGCATCCATTCGTTGTGGATGTGTTTAATTGAACGCATTTGTGAAAATCTGTTGGGCCAGCTGAAAGGAACCCCCCCCCCCCCATAATTGAGTGTTTAACACATTAACCCGAGGGATGTATGCTTATGGTGTGAATCAATATGTACGGTGTAGATATTTTCATTAGTCCGCAGGGAAGGCACCAGTTGGTGATAGTTAAAGGCTGTGGGAGTTGGTGTGAATGGTATATTTATAGGAAACTGCCAATGTAGCACACAGTGCATCCGTGTGATGTGATAGCGATCACCAGCGATGGCACACCAAGCCGTCCAAGACAAGCACACATTGTATTTTTAAGTTATTAATTCTTATACCACTGATCCGTGAACAAAGTGATTATTACCTTACCCAGTTGGCCACGCAAATGAGAAACCGTCTTCATGGATTTTGTTTAATGAAATACATATTTTTGAATATTAAATGCATTGCTGCTTTTGATGCGAATGATGAGTATTTTCAAGTGCATTGTGTGAAATGTGCCCTACATATAACAGTGCTATTAAATGGTTTGTCCACAGCTAATTTCAAGCGCTCATTTATTCCAAAGGTTTCCATACAATCGTGAGCAAGCGGAAGATGACAGATAAATTACATTTAATTCTTCTTTTGTAGGTATTGGTGGGAACCATGGATTCAAACCCAGTCTCCGTTTTTCTGGCTTATTGCTTGTGAGGTCCTGCCACCGTCGAGTTATTCCCCCTGAGTAACTTGGCACCTCCGCTTTAATTGAAGGCTTACATTTTTTTTAAACTGAAGTTTTTGTCGTCGGACAGGTGAAGAGGCTGGACATTCATTTTCGATCGGCCACCACCTGCAATGCCCTCTACACCACACTGGTGGCGCGGATGGTGAGCAGGTACTGTACTGGCATTCCTTGTCAGCAAACAAGTTGTCTTGTTCCCTATGTGCAGCCACGTAGCTTCCTAAGGAAGCTTCCACATATATTCTAATAATAATATTTAAGACACATGGGTCAAGCACATTCGTCAGAAAGCCATCGATTAGCATCATAATTACCTTCCATACTGCTACTGCACCTTGCATGGCCAACTTTCAGCTGCATTCCCCATATCACTGTATGTTGCTATTATAAACAGAATGCTCCTGTGGTGTAATAGTTAGTCGCCGGTTCGATCTCCCGGCGCGAAAGTCGAAATGATGGGGCAAATTTTTAAAATCCCCCCCACCTCTCTCTGTCGACCCAGCAGTACCACAGTTAGTCGATCGTCAGGTTGCGTATATTTGTGGGGGTTCTCCGAAGATGTCCGGCGAGCATGGAAGAGAGGGCCACATATCAGCCAGAGTGGCTGGCATGTGTGTGGATGTCGAGTGGAGAGGCGCCTTTCTCTGCAACAGTGGCGTGGGAAAGCAATTTCGGTATTATAATGTTTCGCTCGTGAGACGTCGTTCGTGAGCCACGCACCCAGACTGTGCAGTTTAAATCTGCCTTTGACAAAATAAATAGACTCACGACTGAACGAAGTGCAGACTTGAGATTGACTTTAAATGCCGCTGGAATAGAAATGAGACGAAGTTGGTGTGTCTGACTAATGTGTATTTCCAATCTGATTTTCATATAAATCCAGCACTATTTTTTGTACTTAATACTGAAAACATTACTGTCGCTTGCTGAAATCTTCTTACTTAACCATATCTTTATTTTTTACCAATTCCAATTTCGCATTCGTTGTTGTCCATTATGCTGCCACTTTGTTCCCTTGAGTGAATTGGCCTTCAGTCGCACGCTTTCACTCCTGCCTCCTTCACACGGCCAGGACATTTCTGACTCTCTTCTCCTCCACGTGCCCTTTTGTTATAGCTTTTAGCACACCGCTGCCTCTGATGATATTCCCCATCCAATTCCGTCTCCGAATTCCAATAACCATCATTACGCACCACCTTTTATCTTCTAGCGCGTGCACCTCTTTGTTCGTCTATTTCTTTGTCCACTTAACCATTTCATTCTCCTCCAGCACCACATCTGGGCTGCTTTGAGTCTCTGATTCTTTCAACTGCTTTGATTCTATGTATCAGGTGCTTTGTGACCTAATGCTGGAATGGTTTGGATATTCAGTTTTTTTATGAAAAGTTTTTGTCTTTATTAAAATTTTCACTCTTGCCATCAAGTCATGGATAGAGAAATGTACATTTGGAACTCTCACAGAGCAGTGCATCACTCCGTATTAAAGAACGGCCCGCAGAAAGTGACATCACAGGACTACTTCTGAGATTGCTGTCTTAGCCACACCAGCGGTGCTGCCATAGAGCTATTAATTGCATCGCAATAAAACCGACCATCTTAATTCTGGGAGCTGAAATTGTCGTCAAATTAAGAGAAAACCTAAATGTATTAGGAAATGTGTGCAGTTATTGTTGACCATCAGCCCGCTATACTCGTGAATCCAGTTCAATCACTGTTGGCTGAAAACCTGAATTCAAACCTCGTGCCTCAGCAGTGCTGGCTCATTGTAGCTGACCCCTGACCCAGCTGGCCAAGTCAGAATAGATGTTTCTATTGCACAGCTCCCTTTGATTTGTGAGTCCGTGCCATGTTCTTGCCACTGCCCCCACCACTACCATCCCGTGGTGCCAGGGCACGGTCGTCCCAGGAGCTGGAGGAAGCTCTGCACCCATGCCTGCAGTGTCACGACACCCCTACGCTCTTCCGCCTGGCGCTCCGGGTCACAGAGTCCACCCTGCGCTCCGCCAGGGATCGCGAGCGCCTGCGAGAGGTGAGCGTCTAACGTTGCGTGTCCAATTGTAGGCCAGGTAATGCTGTCTGGGCGAGTGCAGTTAGCGAGCGCTCACTCGAGCTGGCTGGCAGCACAAACGATTGCGTGGTGTGGCCAGGACCATGCATGCCCAATTATTTTAAGGTGCCACGGTGGTGAGATGTTAACTGCCTCTCCTGGTATACAGGAGATCGTAGGTTCGATCCCGACCCTGACGCCTGCTGTATATTTGAAGTTTGCATGTCCTCCTCATGGTCGCGTGACATTTTCATCGGATTCTCTGGTTTTTCCTTTCACATTTAGAAATAAACTTTTAGAGTATTTGGCTGGTATACATTTCCACATAAGCCACTTTTTGTTGAGCTATCATTTTTGGCTAGGTCGCTTCTGAAAAAGAGCTCCATAGATTATGGCGAGGCTGCTCCCACATAACTTCTCCGCAAAGCGGTACCTATTTTATTGACCCTGTAGAGATGATGGGCTGATTAAATTCCCACTGAGGATTTGGACTCGCGACTTTCTGACTGCGAGCCACCTTACCTGGCCGGATGATTAGCAAATATAATAATAAGTATGAGCTTATATTGAGCCTTTCGCAAAAAAATTATCCCAAGGTGATTTACAGTCGATAAAAATACTATAAAACATCAATTAAGAAAATGTAATTTAAACCATGAAACTGCAAACTGTAAAAACACAAAAGCCCTTATAATGATGAAATCCTGCTCGGGAGAGGACAATTCTTCACTCCGTCTGTAAAGTCCGTGTTGACCAGAGGGATAGAACCTCAACGTGTAATTATAATTTTACCGATTAAGAGCAACTCATGCCCTTGCAATAATGAATGAGGTGGTGCTTGCGAATATTCTATCTCCACGTATGTCCTGCGTGCATGGGCGTACAAATCATCGCCCTTGTGCTTTTCCCACACACAAAGGACCCCCTGCTGTTTAGCCTTCGAAGACCTTTGGGGCAAGTGCTGTTAGCGAGCACCTATGAAGGCCGGCACAGCACACGACCATTTGGGTGGCCAGCACCACACCCGGCCGCTTTTTGTCTCCCTAGTGGCGATGTTTATACACCGCACCAGGTACTCATTTTTAATGCCGAATCGACCTAGGAGAGGCCCAGAACGGGTTCAAATATCTACCACTGTTATTGGTCGTGAGTGGGAATCGAACTCGGGTTTTCAGGGTTTCTGTGAAGTGTGCTAACCACCGCGCCACCGCTCCTCACACTTCACACAAAGGCAGACCCCCCCGTTTATCCTTAACAGACTCCAGGATGCATTTTTTTGTCTATAATGTAGACTTGATTATAGACTGCCAATACGCTCACCAAGCTTAAAAACCAGGCTACAGTCTACATTATAGACTGCCAATAGACTCACCAAGCTTAAGAACCAGGTTACAGTCTACATTATAGACTGCCAGTACACTGACCCAGCTTAATAACCATTGCGAGATTCGACATTATAGACTGCCATTACACTCACCAAACTTAATAACCAGGCTACAATCTACATTATAGACTGCCAGTACACTCACTCCAATTAAGAACCAGGCTATAGTCTACATTAGGGTTTTTTGGTTTATTATTTATTTTTATTTTATTTTTTATTATTTTTATTCACTTTTTTTATTTTTTCTATCTACGTGACTTTACCGAAAGAATCAAAAATAATTTTTGTTCTTGTTCTTGCTGCAACTATAGCAGGCATCGGCGAGTTGCCGAACCTGTAAGGCACGGGTTTGTTGTGGAACACTTAAAGCAGAGAGCCAACCCAGGGGGCTGTGAAGGATTTGAAGTCTATTGATCGTCTGACACATTGTCAAAGCAATATGGGCTGCACTGCATACACTGTCAAGGAGGAAGCCTGCTGCTGGGACTATGGCGGGTGCATGCTGGGTGTCCCTGATTGAACAAGCTCGCAATATAAAACGTGCTATTTCTGGACTACATTTATAGCTGAACAAATGTGTTATTGTCATTCATTGTTAGTGGGGGTTTCTTCTCCATTTAGCACTGGATTAGGTGAATTTCGTTCCTGAATACCCGAGTAGTAACAAGCAGGCTTGTAATCATTCGCAACCTTGGGATTCAATGAAATGTCACATTTTGATTCAGGAATTTTTTTGTTACTTTGGGATGAATGTGCAACGACCTCTAGTGGAAGCAAAGGATTGTGTTAACGCATTGCACGGAGGAGATGGAATGATGCAATCTGTTAGGCTGCAGGTGCTAGGTGGATTGGTCACATCGTGGGATCGTCAGAGGTGACACCTTCATCCAGCAGTGGAATGAACATGGCTCAACGCATGTATTGTGACTGCAATTATTTATTTGAATCCATTAATCTATGCATTGCTTTGTCATCTAGCAGCGTGTCGGATTTGGGGCAACATTGACGGCGATTGATTCCGTTGTGCAGGTCCCCTGTGGGACAGTCACAATGTGGAGAAAAAGGAAAGATGCAGCGGCTATTATCCAAGTCACTCGGTTAGGTGTGGCCAATAGTTTTCATGTGAACTATATCTGTCAATCATTTAATGAACAGCATTGACTACACCCGACTAATTCTGCTGCACAATGTGGTAATTCCACGAAGCCTTGTCTCTGATTGAAATCAGTGTTTTGTGCCTTTATTTGCATGTGCATGTGTATGTCCTTCGTGTCTGCTAGTGTGTGGTTGCGCACGTGCATGTATGCATGTGTCTAGGAGCTCGCTTCAAGCACTTGCCTTAAGGGCCGGTGTAGGTTACGTGGGGAAGTTTGTCTATACGTGTTTCAACATGTATGTGTGGCTGCTTGTGTGCATTTGGATTGGAGAGAGTAGGTGAGGTTAATCTATACCCTCATAGTGAAAATTGTGCTTCATATCTTGATCATTTCCTCGGTGTTTGCGTGCCTATCTGAATGTCTGTCAGGGAGTTGTGGCATAGTGGCTAATGCACTGCTAAAAACCAGGTAATTTGAGTCCAATTCCCAGCCATAGCTAACATCAGTATATTTGGAGTTTGCGTGCCTCTCTCCTCGTAGATATGTTAACTACACCGCCTGGAATGCAGAAGGTCGTGGGTTCGATCCCGACCCTTGGAGTTTGCGTGCCTCTCCCCCGACGGTCGTGTGGATTTTCCTCCGGGTCCTCCGGTTTTGGCATCCACATTTTTTTGGGCTGCTATAGGTTCCCGCGTGAGCTATCATTTGTGGCCAGGTTGCTTCTGAAAAGAGCTGTATATCTCAGTGGGCCTTACCTGGGGGGGGGGGAATCCTTGTTTTTATCTTTGTGAATGTGCGCGTGTTTCCTTGCGCGCGTGCCGCGTCTCCGCCGTGAGAAGCTGCTGTGCCTGGCGTGCGTGGCGCGCGACGGCGTGAGCGAGTCGGAGCTGCAGGACATCGACCCGGGCCTGGGCTGGGCCCTGCTGTCGCCCCTGTTGCACACGCTGCAGCGACTCTGCGTGCTGTCCCGCACGTGCGGCCTCATCAAGTTCCGTCACCTGCAGGTCAGGAGCTCGTGACCCTGCAATCATTTGTTTTCTATGGCGGCGGCGTTCATGCAAACGGAATCTCTAAAAGGCTGAAGGATTTGCGACACGTGCGGTAATCGCACGGAGGTGCGGGAGACCACAGACGAGCGGATAAGGCAGCCGGAACCAGCGCCAGCAATTGCCCAAGCTCTGTGGTCCCATATTTGGATGTTTTTGCCAACTCCTTGAAGCGCTGAGCTGGGAGACAAAGGGTCGGCGTTACACCAAAGCCACAAGGCTCTGAAGACAAACGGTTCTCAAAGTGTGGTGTGCGTCTCCCCCGGGGTGGGTTACGTGTGACACGTCTAGGGGATACGCGAGACTGATGACGTCATGGCGGTGGTCTCGTGGGGTGCAGTCACGCGTGGTTACTCTAGCACCAGTGACAGGCCACTTCCGGCCAGATCTCCGGTTAAATTGTAAATATTTAGTTAATCGTCATTAAATTATCAAGTTTCGATTCAAAGCTTTCGTGACTGCAGGGATTCATCTTCTTGGTTCTTTCGGGAAAGTCACGTAGAAGGGAAATAATAAAATAATAAAAATAAAACATTGTATTTTATTATGTTTTATTTTTATTATTTTATTATTTCCCTTCTACGTGAAAATAATAAAAATAAAACATTGTATTTTATTATGTTTTATTTTTATTATTTTATTATTTCCCTTCTACGTGACTTTACCGAAAGAACCAAGAAGATGAAATTATCAAGTGTTAACTGAATCTCAAAGGTGTTGATTATGTGATTCAAACATATCGGTTTTTACTTGATAAAAGCTAAAACCTATGCCCTGGTAGGGGTGCCCCTGACAGGCGATAGGTCTTCTGGGGGGTTATATGACCAGCGCCAGATTGGGCACCATCGCTCTAAGAGATGGTGAAACTTTGTGCGACTGGCGATTGATTTTTGTGGGCCACCTTTAGACCATGTGCTTTCACGCATTTGCGTAAAATTGACTTCGGCCAGGGAACTCATTTCAGACACAGACCGAAGCCCCCTTTACTTTTTTGAACAGAAATTGCTTTGGAGGATGGAAATGCTGCAGAGAATTAGGAGAGGCAATTCTTTTTTTTTCGCAAATGGGTAGTAGATTATCAGAGTAACCTTCACAGTACCGCGGAGGCAGATTCAATCAGCTCGTCATTTTCAAATCAGCTTGGTGTGGGGTAGGCAATGAACACGTGGGGGGTGGCTGGAGAGTGAGGGGGGGGAAACAAAAAGTGAGAATTTGTGTAAGAAAATGGGATGGTGCGGTTAGGGCACGGGTCGGCAACCTGTGGCTCTTTAAGGACCGCTTCATGACGTTATTTATTAAGGACCACCGTCTTGTAATTCACATGCATTGATTGCGGCTCTTGAAATGTCGAGTTTTTTTTTACCGATTTTGAAAAAACAAATGTTTCTTGTTATTTTGGTTGCCGACCCCTGACTTAGGGTAAGCAGAGAGGTGAGCCGCCTTGATTTGAAAGTGGTGGGATGACAACATTCTCGGAGTTTGCGATAGATTACAACGAACCTTTAAGTAAAAAAAAAACTCTTGCCATTTCCAACGCAGGCCACTGTGCCAAGGGACAGGTTCACATGCATGATAGCGGGGAGGCATCGGCACATTTCCTCCAGAAATCAGACGAAAGAGACCGTTTATTATGTGGTAGGTTCATGCGGTTGTGCTGCGTGTGCCCCTTTCACTTGTTTGCGGGTTGTACCGCGTATTGTGCCGACGTGATGTCCGTCGTTTTGCTCCGCGTCCTGAGAGATTCTTCAGGAACTGAAGTTCCCCAAAAAAAACACAGAGAGCTAAATAGACCATTTGTCAAGATGAGAATATGGCCCCATATCTATGGTAATGAATCTTGTGTTATGTATTAAAATACATAAATTTGACACTAATTCTGATAACTGGTAACTGTCATCATCATCCTCATCACCAATTCCTTGACCCAACCATGGCTGTCTGCTCAGAGAAATCCACCAGCCCCCCAAATGTCCTTGAGAACTTACTGTCGCAGCGGCGAGGGTCCTTGCCAAAACTCCAATATTCTAACTCTAACCCACTCCCCACGTGTCCCGTGCTGATCAACGTGTGCCTGCGCACGTGCACCGCCGCTCGCGCAACGCTTCATCCTCGTTCAGAGTGCTCTCCATTACGGTGCGGGTTTATCGCTTCTGCATTCTGAACGCAGCCCATGTTCACTCCGCATCTCATCTTGGCGAGAACGCAGACGCGTGCCGTGCCGGCTTTCAGAGTTGCTCGCTAACAGCACTTACCCCAACAGTCTGTTAAGACGATACGGAGGTATCTATGTCTTTGTCTTTTTTGCAATGCGTGGAGTGCACATGGTATGTACAATGTGCAGGGCACACGTGACTTGTTGTGCGTGCGATATGTCTGATGCGTGTGCGGTGCGTAAAGGACACGAGGAGCGTGTGAGACTCGCAGTGTGTGCAGTGTGCGCGGGACGCGGCATGCGTGTATTAGATTCGTGTGTGGCAAGCGCATAACACCTGTGTGGCACATGTGTTCTACATGTAATCTCGCCGCTCTTGCTCCATGCGCGGAGCACGTGATGCTGTGTGCAGGCTCAGGAAGCCGCGCGGCAGGAATATGTGGGGGTGCAGGGCCCCGGAGGCTGCCAGGTGTTCCGAGCGAGGCTCGCACAGCACTTCTCCAGCCGCCTCGCGTACGCACAGTGCACCACCGCGCACCACCACACACCACCATGCACAATCACGCACAGTGCACCACCGCGCACCACCACGCACCACCACACACAATCACGCACAGTGCACCACCGCGCACCACCAGACACCACCACGCACAATCACGCACAGTGCACCACCGCGCACCACCACGCACCACCACGCACCACCACGCACAATCACGCACAGCGCACCACCGCGCACCACCACGCACCACCACGCACAATCACGCACAGTGCACCACCGCGCACCACCAAGCACCACCACACACAATCACGCTCAGCGCACCACCACGCACCATCCACGCACCACGCACCACCACGCACCACCATGCACCACCACGCACCACCACACAGAATCACGCACACCACGCACCACCATGCACCACCACGCACCACCACGCACCACCACGCACCACCACACACAATCACGCACAGCACACCACCACACACCACCACGCACCACCACGCACCACCACGCACCACCACGCACAGCACACCATCACGCACCACCACACATAATCACGTACCACCACGCACCACCACGCACCAATCACGCACAGCGCACCACCACGCAGCACCACGCACCATCACGTTCCACCATACATACGCACGGCGCACCACCACACACCACCACGCACCAAATTGCACCACCAGCACTGTCACGCACCCTCCGTCCCTGTGCTACCTCTGAAGCGCACGTGTGGGACGAGCGTAGTAACGGACGTGCAGCCTTGCTGTCTCGACCGTGGCCCAAACGACTCAGCGCCTTTTAAAAAAATTTCGCCACGGACATCGACCGTTACAAGTGCATCCGCGATGTCTTGATGTAGTAGGAGTCTATAATAAAACGAGCTACTTGTTGTTTACTCTCAAAGGCTGCTATGAGCTCTGCGGATTGTTGTATCGGGAAACTGCTTGGGTGAAATAGAGTGCACCGTAAAGCATCGGATACAACAATTATTTAACATTCCAAGGTTATTAAGGGAAACGAGAAGTGTTTTGCTGGAAACAAAAAATCTAGAAACTTAATTGAGGTTCAAAACGGGACCTCCCTGCCAACATCAAAGTAACCTTTTGCAAGGAATGTTTGTTTGCATGTTCACCACAAGTACGTGTGGTTGATGCAGACTTGATTCCTTGCAAAAGGTCTAATTTGGTGTTTGAACATCTTAACACCTGTTTTATTGCCAGAAAGGGTACAATCTATTGTTGTTTCTTAATTTAGGTTTCTTTAATTGTTTGACAACAGATAATTATTCATATTAGCCATTGTTATTACACTGAGTTGTGATGTAAACCTCACGTGTTAATGATTTTTTGCTCCGTCAAATTGTGCCGAAGGGAATCCTTACCGAGAATAAAAATGGGCAACGCTGTTTATCACGGTTTAGTGCGCACACACATTTATAATTTTCAGCCAGCCCTCTGGCAATCGAATGCTGAATGTGCGTCTGCCCATGCCGTGTCACTTATGGGGGCTGTTTGACCATACTCCATCATGTTGGGCAGTGCAGGTTGGTGAATTAGGGAGAGAGGCTCCCAGGATCAAGTTAAGTGATCACCCACCACTGATGTTAGCTGTAGCCAGTTGTAACGCTGTGTGTTCACTATTGCACCACCGCTCCGCATATATTCTATATGTAGTCCATGCGTGTATACTCGGAGATATGTACAGTCATGCATACACAAAGACAAAGATCCCCTGTATAGCCTTAGCAGACTCAAAGGGCAAGTGCTGTTAGCGAGCACCTATGAAGCCCGGCACGGAACACGAGGGGGTGGGTGGCCAGCACCACGCCTGGCCGCCTTTGTCTCCCGAGTGGTGATGTTACACACCACACCAGGTACTCATTTGAGGCTGAGTCGACCTGGGAGAGGCCCATGACCGGCTCAAATAATCGTCACTGGTGGTGGCCGTGAGCGGGAATGGAACTCGGGTGACCGGGTTCGTCGCGCAGCATGCTAACTGCACGCACACTGTTTGTAGCGCACACACACACACAGGTACACGGACCCCACTCGCACAGGCTCCAGTCCTCACAGTGTAGTATGACCTGATTACAGAGACTCCTGATTCACGTTTGGTACGACCTTCCCACTGCTGTAAAGTCGCCGTTATTCACCTGACGCGCACACAGTCCCACTTGCGATAATCTTTCCCAAACCACCCTCAATTGAGCCACTTCTAACAACGCCAATTTCCCCCGGCATGCATTGGCTGGGTCGCTTGCTTTCATCGGTTCCATACAAAACCAATGTCATTCTCCGTGAGGACGCTGCTGTGTCCTTTATGTAATGCGGCCGGTTGGCTACCTGCCAGCATCGGCTTCTTGTTGTATGTGACATTTTGCATTACAGCTGTGCACCGCAACATAATGTCCCAAACATATTGGATTTCTCTCTGTGTCCAACAATGCGCACAGGTACATATTCTGTTGAATTCCACATTAGTCGTTCTTTATCGTTGCGAAATTGATCTTTTTTTCCATAGTTATTGATGTTCACGTGTTTATTCCGAGTATATATTATCTGACTCAAGCATCCCAATGTAATGTTGTGGCTCCACAGTAACATCAGCAATATGAAGGATAAGAAGAGTATATATACATATAGACGTGTGTGTATCACATCATCATCAGCCATGGTTAATCTACTGCTGGATGAAGGCTACCCCAAGCCGCTACCCACCTCTAACCTCTAATGATCCTGCAATGTAGTAATCCACCTAGCATCTGCACACAAACAGATTTCATCGCTCCATCTCCACATCATGCCACTCACGTACGTACATATATATACACCACGTAAATCCTGTGTGTGTAACTACATGTATATTCACACACACAGTATTTACATGGGGTCATCAAAAATAAGAGAAATTTCAAAATGATCCCACAACAAGAAATGTGGACCGTCTGCTGTTGGCTCACGGTCAAAATCAGAAGAGGACCACTGCAGGGATTGTCGGTGGCTTGGAGACCGCTTTGTCCAGCAGTGGACTGAACTGGTCCGGATGACTTTGCTCCTGCCTTGCGGTGCTCGTGACATTTGTGGTCGCAATACTTTATCTCAGTGTTGACGCTTTTAGAATTCTACCTTTTACGGTTCATGTCCGCTCTAGTCACTGCAGCGCGGCTCTGTTATAGCACCCCCAGGATTCACTGATGTACACAGTTATTCAGGTTGACACATGTTAATCGAAATTGAAAACTAATTTTTTTATAACAGCTTTTTGTGTTTAGTTTGTTTTCCTTTCCCCCGCACCTCCGATGAGCAACGGTTGGCTACTTGCACATATACGTGCACGCGTACAGTGTCCGTAGCACGCTCCGCGTATGAAGCCGCTCTATAAATCTCTCATCACGATCGTCACCGCGTCGCAGGGCCGGCCGCGTGACTTGGCGTGTGGCGGACGAGCTGCCGTGGCTGCTGCATCACGACGCCGAGAGCCGCCCGGCGCTGCAGGACTGCCTCCTCAACCTGCACCTGTGCCGGGACCTCTACAAGCGGTGCGTCCGTCTGGAACGCTCTTCCCTCCGACATTAGGAAGCCACTGGAGCTCACGCACTTTTAAATCTACATTGAACACTCACTTCTTTCGAACTGATTTTTGCATTTAGCTTGTTGTCCTTCCCCTCCGTACCTCCGATTAGCACGGTTGGCTACATACGGTGCGAAATAAGTTCAACATACATAGATACAGTCTCTATGCAATACTACATACCCCAACGCTAACCCGCAGCCCCAGGTCGTAACGTCTCGCCCGTGCCATTGCCTGTGCCGCCGCCACCACCCCAGGGGCCGCTTCTCTGACCTGGTGAGCCACTGGCAGGCGGCGGGACGAGACCGCACCTCCTTGGCCGCCCTCTACATGGAAGCGCTGAAGCAGCGGGAGAAGGCGCCCCTGGCCGGGACGGCGAGCAGCAGCGGCGGTGGCGGCGACGTGGGCTCGGACGGGAGCTGGGAGCGCAGCGTGTCGGAGCTCGCCGACCTGCACGAGACGCTGGGACGCTTCCTCAGGGACCTGGGCCTCTACAGCCAGGTAGGTGCAGGGATCTCGGGTTGCCACCTTTTTCCTGGGTTTTCGACAGAACCGTCGTGCGTTCACGGTAGCTCTCCTGGGAAATCTGTAAGAACTTCCCAGGACGTTAAACAAGTTGCGTTTTTTTTTTGTCAGTTGTGCGTTAACGCTCCGCTCAAGACAACGTGTTGGCATTTAGTTTTTCCCCTCTTTGTTGTGAAATAGTCTTATTCCCACAATATGTCCCGGTGTTTTTGTACGTGGGCTTTGGGAACCCTCCCTGGGAGCAGAGGGAGTGGTTGGGAGCAATGGGAGGAGAGGATTTTCTTTATATTCGTAACAAAAACATTTACATATCCAGGAAAGCCTCGCTAAGAGTCTCAAGGCTTATTTTCAGGGAGGACATGCTACGTTGTGATGTTTGGTCAGCGGGCATAACCATTATCGTTGGTGTTGTGTGGGAGAAACCCGCCGTACTTGGAGACAACCCGCCTATAAATACGAAAGGGCAACATTGTAAACACCGCACAGATAGATCTAATAATCCATTGCTATATTTCCATCTACTGGCCACTTGGCAGCCCCAGCTTACAACATCTGGTATTACCCATCCAGCACCTATCCAGGATCAATCTAGCTTGGCTTATAACGCTGATGGGACTGGTTGCTTTGAGTGTGATTTGGTTATGGGTGAAGTATTTTGTGAATGGACCTGTGAAAGCCGTTTGAGTAATGCCAGTGATGATTACATGGGGGTGGATATTGGTGTGTTTGTTTAACTCTGATGCCCGACTCTTGTACCCTCTCATCAGTTATAACATCTGATATATTTGAGATCAATATTAATATGAAGTCTCGACCGGAGAGTTTCCATTCAATACTTTGACAAATTTAAACCATGACGTGGATACACAAACGGCCTACGTCTGACAATTTTATCGGAAATGGTTTACAAGCCGCTTAACCATTGTAGGTGTCACTTTAGCGATTGCGTCGCGCATTACTATGCAGAGGTGGTATTTGAACTGCTTTACGCTTGCAATCTGCTTCCCCAGTAGCCGGCCCTTCCACCATTGAGTTGTGCAACACAGTACTATAACAGTAAGAAAATAATACTAATACTGTATGTAAAGATAAAATTATAATATATTTTTTTATAGTCATCTATGCAACCGCATCGCACAGTGCTTCGTGGTCCGCAACACAGGGAGATGTTTTCAGCCGAGCAATGGGAGGAGAACGGAGCGCGCGGAGGAGACCCAAGCATCTGAGAGGGCAACACTCCATCCCATACAGAAGGAACAGATAATATCAACGTGCACTTTGCTGCACCGCCCTTCCCTCCTGGCGAGCAAGGGTTTATCGCGCCTCGATGCCCACGGAAAGGAAGCTTCACAGCATTCGTGTGATTCACCAACCCTCGCTGCCTCCACAGTGCTGGATTACAGGCATGTGTAGCCACCATGAATAATGTCTCCATACAATAGTAGTGTTCAGTGGATGATTTATCCACGAAAGCCTCATGCCTTATCCTCTTATTTTCAGGAAGAGTCTGCATTGGGTTGTTCATTTTGTTCCTTCTAAAGTGGTGTTTTGGATCTTGGAGGAACTAAGAGTACATGTACAGACAATTTGTCAATCCACTGCTGGATGAGTGCCTCCCCTTTGCTACGTGGGTTCATGGGGACTACAGTGTTTTAGCATCGAGACATTGGGAGGGAATTTCAAAGTCGAGCAGTGTGAGGAAAGATGCAGAAAAAGAATTGGTTAACCTGTGGCATGGTGGTCGAACACCGTATGGCCGAGATTGAACAGTCAGTCTGGTAGACCGAGTCCTCGGGAGGAGGAGGGTGATGACGAGGCAACTGAGTGTCCGTTAAAGAGTGACTGGAGGGAATCGGTGAGTGCAGTTCGTGGGAACAGTACCCATGACGGTAGCGATGGAAGCGTGCTAAGCAGGCGAATGAGCACCGGTGAGCGAAGAGACGCATTCCTCCCTCCGCACGTGCGCAGGCGGTGCTGATGCTGCAGCGCTCGCTGGAGTTGCGCGAGACGGCGCTCGACCCGGACCACCCGAGCGTGGCCGGCACGCTGCACCGGCTGGCGGCCGTCTACCTCTCGTGGCGCAAGCCGGGTCCCGCCCAGCAGCTGTACGAGCAGGCGCTGGCGCTCGTGCAGAACGCGCACGGGCACGACGACCCGCGCGTGGCGCGACACCTCGACGCGCTCGCCGCGCTGCACCACAAGCACGGACGGTGAGCGGCGCGAGTCGCACCCGGCGTAGCTGGCCGCGCTTGCAGGCGGTGTGCGCCTTTGAGTGGCGGCACCGAGATGTTGACTACCTCGTGCGGTATACAGGCGGTCGTGGGTTCGATCCTGACCCCTGACGACCTGCTGTATAATTGGAGTTTGCGTGTTCTCTCTCTTACCCGTGGCCACATGGATTTTTTTCCGTGGTGGTGGTTATGCTGGAACACTGAGCCAGTACTGCCATCTTTAAATAATTATAACAAGAGTGTGTTTTTGCTTTAGTGATTTATGGCCTTTATTTAAACCAAGCAAGAGCCTGGTGAGTCCAGGAGTTTCTTTTTCAAGGGAGACCTTGGTTAAAATAAATAAACCGAAAAAATATGTCCCTGAGTAAAAATAAATATTCAAAATATAGAATTTAAACACATGACAGAAACAATATATAACAACATAAACCAGAAACAATGTTAAACATTTTTGTTACGATGAGGATTTAATTTTTTTTTTACATGAATAATGCCTGAGTAGGGGATCTAGTACTAAAACAATATGTGCAGCCCTCTATCAATCCTCTGGCGGATGAAGAGCTCCCTCGACTTGTCGGTGTTGTTCACAACCCAAACTCACCCCCCACGCTGGTCCGTACAGCTTGGTTGAAGTGGAGCGAGCGGTGGCGGTTCAGAACCAGAGTTGAGATATCTATGTCTGATGAAGGCCTCCACCATCACCATCAGCAATGAGGCCTGATTATTCTATTCCTTCTCGCGTATGACCTGATGATGCTCATGGACGCTGTGCTCCTCTCTTTACGTAACACGTGACGCGACGGACCTCGCTCTGGTCACATCCAACTGCCGCTCCCACTTGCCGGGTTGGATTCGCTCACTTGGTGTGGAAACGTGACGGTGCCGCGGGGGGGGGGGGGGGATATCTCTGCTGCCGTGTGACATTTCCAGGCTGGAGCAGGCCGAGTCCCTGAGGAGACAAGCCTTGAAGATCCGCCAGAAGGCTGCAGCCGAGAGGGGCAACGTGGTAACCGAGCCGCCCACCGCGATCCATTGAAGCCGTTCCGTACATTTACAGGGAAATGCCCTCCGGGGAGGGAAGAATATCGTTCTAAGAGAATATATCTTATAACAGAATTATACATTGGTGCAGATGGCTTGCTTTTTATTGTATTTTTGAAAGAGCATTTTTTTTTTGCTTATTGCCGAATCCAAATGCATCTCACTAATTAATGTTGCGTTCGTGGACACAGTGCTGTTGGGTATGTTCGTTCTCACAGACGCGGAATTTATTTTAAAAGCACTTATTAAAATGGTGACACAGGGTAATGGGTACCTCTTTCTCTCATTTTATAATTTCCCCCATCTTGCTGTAACAAATTGGCTCCCCGATTTAGCAGATGTACAAGTGGGCAGAGGTGTATTTTTGAAAGCGGTCTTCAATTCCTTTCCCTTTGTTTCACCAGGTGAGATCCCATTCGGAGTCATTAGAAAGGGGCACGTAGATACCCGTGCATCAAATGTAACAGAGTAAATATTTACTTGTATTGGCAACACTCCTTTGCATCGGCACATGGTAACCTCACGCCGTGAAGGAAGTCACTTGAGTCTTTAATATACAATTCATAGCAGATGGCACACTTTGTTAAACCCCCGTAGAACTAAACCAGTAATTAATTTTAAAAAAGTGATAAAAACGTCGGAACCACGAGGCTAATCAGCCAAAACGTCCCAACCACTGGGCCAATCAGCCAGCAGGCTTAACGTCGTCTCTCTTGGCCTGCATGCTCTGCGCTGCCTTCCCCTCCACCCTCCAGAGGCAGTGATGTCATCGATTCAGCAATGCTAATCGATTCTTATCGTCGCGATACACGCATTGAATTGTACGTAGATGCAAGTAATATTCTACCTTTCATATTTAGGCAAACGGGACAAGTTAAATTGGTCAAACGAGACGTGAATGGAAGGATTGCGATCGCCGTGGCATAAATATGCAAAGATAATATAATCTGAACTCCTATTTTTACCTTGAATTGTCACAATTCGTTCTCTCCTTGTGGTTTCGTGGGGAGGAGGTGGGGGGAGGGGGGAAACGTCACGTGGCTTGTTCTTTTGCAGTGCGTTTCCACGTCAACCAACGGTGAACCACTCGAGCTGATAAGTCTTCTTGTTCCACGTCTTTGTCCCACTCACGTTGGGGGGGTCCGCTGTCCTTGCCAACCTTCTCCACGCTGCCCTGTCCTGCGCCGTCTCTCTTTCCGCTCCTCGGGCCACCGTGGTCCAATCGCACCACTTCGTCTTCTGTTGCCTTCCTCTTGATCTCTTTCATTCCACTTGCATCACTTGCACCTTCTGACCCACATAATGAGCTGGTAAGTCTAATTTTTTTTTCAAGCATGGGTGCGTGTTTAACTGTAGATTACAGGAAAGAGAGAGAGAGGAGAGACGGTGATCAGTGCAGGCAGTTCGTAGTTGGAAGGCAACAACACAGGCAGGTGTTCGCTTTATCGCGATGTCACCTCCAATGTTTGCTGTGCGCCAGTTAGGCCGGCGCCCTTGCTGCGGTCACGGGAGCGCTTTTTGCAAATAATTAAATTCCAGCACAACCAGAAGTGCTTGTGAAAGCGCACCGCATAAAAAAAAAATCTTGTTTTATATCCTGCTACATATTGCACGGTAATCAATGTATAGATACTCCGCTAAAATAATAGGGAGAATTCGTAGAGAAAACAACAATTTATTTTCAAAGCTTCAACACATCTCCCAACAATCTTAATCCACTTCTTAAAGCTTTACTACTCTGCTCTGCAAGATCTGGAGCCATCGCTGACACAATTACTCGGGCACCTGTTGTTGCGAGCCCACAGAGGGTCATTAGACATCCTGGGGCTCCTTTAAATGGATCACCAACTTTATATATATAATTTTTTGTGTCTGATGTCAAAAATTGCCACGATTCAAAGCATTTTTCTGTTTGTATTTGAGAGTTGAAACGAGCTACCACCCCCCTCTCCACTGCTGCCCATCCTTTCACCACAATGATAGCCGAGCAAACATCAGTTGTGTGCTTCAAGAGCCTTTGTTTATTTGTTTATTGCTGTCTCTTGCATTGTGCTCCCCAATGCATATCGTATCTGTGCTGCTGTGTTTTCATCTCTCTCTGCTGCCTGTTTATTAATCTCCTATACATCTTCTTGTTTTGCATCCCATCTGGCGTCTGCCTTTTCTGAAAATGTAAATGTAAAACATTTTTTGTCACTTTTGTCAACCCTCATTGAACTTGAACTCTATCTTCCCGCTCCCCACCTCCGCTTCACTTTTCCTGGCGCTAACTCCTTCTCCTTGAACCCCGAGCGATCGCCGGAGCGGTCGCATTCTCGAGCGGTCGCGCGTTTTGCCGCGTGTCGCAGAAAGTCCGTGGTTTGAGCCCAGAGGTTTGACTCGGCGGCCGCCCTGGTTAATACCCGTGCGTGTATTGACCGATAAAAACACGCTCCGTCCGCTTCACGAAGGATGTTAAAGATCCCGTGACATCATTGGAAAAAAAAGTGGACTCTGGCGTCAGGGTTCAAATGTGCCAAAAAAAAACTACCTGCAAATTAGTTAATTGGATTACGTCCGTCCATAAAACATCGCACTTTCATAGTAGCGTTCGCGCTAATGGAATGGCGCGATCATCAAATCCACCTAATTATTATAATTAATACCTATGCTCTGTAACCTTCTCTCGCCGTCTTTTCCTCCCTCCCCGCCGCCCCCCCCCCCCGCCCCCCCCCCCCCCCCCACCTTCCTGCGACCACCGTCGCTGCAGTCGGGCTTCGAGCTGCTGCGACGCCGCCTGCTGCAGTTGGAGGAGGGCCCCCCCGGCGGGGAGTCGGCGGACGCGGCGCGCTCGCTCAACGAGCTGGGGGTGCTCTACTACCTGCAGGGCAACCCCGAGTGAGCCGCCCCGCCGTAGCAGCCGGCACCATCGGCACCAGCACGCTCACATCGCCAGCAACACCTGCTGACACGGGGGGGGGGGGGGGGGGCATGCTGCCGTGGTGCAATGGTTAGGACGCTGGACTAGCAAATCTTGAGGTCGCCAGTTCTATTTTGTTGACCTTCCCCGCACCTCCGATTAGCACGGTTAGCTACGTACGGCGCGAAAAGAGTTCAACATGCATGCTTGCATACATTTCCCGGCACGGCAGTTGTCGAACAATGGTCAATTTTCTAAACGCCCCTACCCACCGAGCAGTATAGCATTACTTATTCAATCAGCAAGTCGCATGCGGTGGGGTAAAGTAAGGATGCGCCTTGCAAGACGTCTGACCAGCGTGTAAGAGTAGTCCAAATGCCATCTCTAGCAGAGGCCCTTTTGCAAGTAGGGGTCGTGAGCATGCAACTGCAGCGCTGCACCATTCACTTTTTATTTGATCTTCAGTCACTTCGCTTACCGAGTGATGATCTCAAATGCCCCTTTTCTCTGGTGCCGCAAAATGTACCACATCGGAGGCGTGGTGTAAATAATAAATGGTGATGATAATAATGACCAGTGTAATAATGACCAGTGTCAATTTTACGTAGGTAGTACACTTTATTTATCCAGGAAATCCTTGTTGAGCACCAAGACTCTCTTTCAGGAGAATCCTGCCATAAAAAGTTTGTGCCGATTCAAAAATTATTTCAGAAACGAGGATTGACAAAGGAGTAAGAAAGAATATTTGTTTTCTATGAAAATAAATTATTGGCCACAAGTCCGTGGGGGAGGCCATATCGCCGGAACTGACGATGGCTGGTGGTTGGCAATCACGAAGGAGTGGCAGTTAAAGGAGGGAACTCGCCATGGAGATAATCCGCCAACAGAGATGGAGCTTGATGAATTGTCGCTTCATGAGACCTTGAGGGATGCCAACAACTCGGGGAAGCCTTCATCCGGCAATGGATAGATCATGGTGATGATGATAATGAAAATGCTGGTTGCTGGCTGGGTCATACACATACTGGGAGAATGGATGGCGCAGGGTATGGTAGGTGGCATGGGTGTGCGGTAGTGCAGGCCGGACAGAGCCATTGGGTGTACGAGCATTGGCTCATTGTGCTGTGATAAAATGAAGTATGTTCTCCATTTTCCAATTTGTCAAAGTAAGGTAATGGAAAGAATTTGGAATTCCTGCCTTGGAAGAGTTTCAGCTCCACTGTATACAATGCATATTTCACATTCTGCCTACTGCCAGTTTGGCTTTGGGGAAATATCAAAGTACCTTCTCTGCTACACTGGAATGTAAAGGCTCTGCAGTGTAATTTTAGAGAGGAAGTCATGGCGTGATATTTTGTGAGCAAAATTTTTAAGATGACTTATTGTGATTTCATTCTTTTGAAATATCTGACGTATGTGCCTTTGTTTGCTTGCTGGGACGTAAAGTCCTTGTGCTGAGGCTAGGAGACCTATTCACCCTTGTTCACAGCCACGGCTAATCAATAATTGGCATGTAGTTAATGAATCGATGCATTACATTGTATATTGTCTGTGAATGCAACTTAATTGTGGACAACACAGTGAGAAAATAAGATGTGTGCCCTATAAGTGGATGGAATTCAGATTTCAAACAAAAGAAAAGTTCAATTTCCCGTGGCCTCCTCCTTCTTGCTTTTGCAAAAAAAAATTAAATGAACCGCAGCTGAGCAGTTGAGGTGGCTGGAGGCCATGAATGAGCTTCACGCAGCCAAGGGAGCATGAAGGGAACAAGTGGCATGATATTTTCCAATATCCCTGGAGAAATACCATCACGGAGGGAGGTGGAGGCTGACATCGGACCGAAATTGAGAGCGCAGCCACTTGACAGCCCACACAGGAATGCCCTCTGCTGATTGCGACGAGGCTCCCGTGGTATGGATAGATGACGTGATGTAAAGCGGAGGAGGAGGAGAGGGCCCGACATCGAGCATTGGAATTAACCACACCCCTTTGGATGAGCGAGCCAAAGTGGTTCGACGCCTGCGGAGGAATGGCGATAGTTTTGGCGATGGACTTGCAAGGCGTATGGGGGGGGGGGGGGTAGCTGGGTTTTTCTGGGTTGAGCCATGTGACAAATTGCAAAACTAATGCGGCTGGATTTTCAAGAGCCTAGCCCGGGAAATGAAGTGCGCTTCACCTGAAGTTTTCTTTCCGTGCGTGCGTGCGCGCGCGTGTGTGTGTGCGTGTGTAGAATAGCAGAGTTGTTTTTCCAGCGCTCGCTCACCATGCGGGAGAAGGTGCTCGGCCCGGACCACCCGGACTGCGCGCAGTCCCTCAACAACCTGGCGTCGCTGTGCGGGGAACGCGGCGAGAACGAGAGAGCCCAGTGCCTCTACGAGCGAGCGCTGCACAACCGCCAGCGCGCCCTCTCCCGCAACCACCCGGCGCTCGCCTACACCGTCAAGCAGCTGGCACTGCTCTACAAGAAGGGGGTACGGATGCAGAGACGGCTGCCTCTGGATTCGCCGAGGGGGGGGGGGGGTAGGCGAGCGCGTGAATTACGCACGCAACAGATGGGTGGCGCGCCCTCGCGATTCCGTTCAAGAATGTGTATTTTTGTTTTTATATTGTGGCGAATGAAAACGCTTCTAGTGGCTGCAGAGGTCACGCGAATCAACGGCATTTGAACTCTGTAAAGATAAAAAGCACGCTGAAGATGATGGAAAATTAACGTACAATATGAACGGACAGACGGGAAGTAAGTTCGTTGTGTTCGAAATTAACTTCCTATCATATATTGTCATACAACATATACACACACGTGTTATTTGATACACGTATATGTTGATGAGTCAATGCATCATTATATGCAAATGGCCAACCGACTATGCATAAATTGACATATCTACCATATGCTTCAGATATAGAGCTCTTCCTGAGGAAATCAAGTTGGGAATTGCCATTATACCACATTGCTGTTCGTCCTGAGTAGGGCAGATGGAGCTAGCTGCTTTTCTAACGGCCTCTGTGCCACTGTGAGTGTCGCCCAGGGCAAACTGGAGAAGGCTCTACCCCTCTACCAGCTGACGGTTGAGATCAGAGAAAAGGCTTCTGGGCCAAACCATCCCAGCGTGGCCACAGCGCTGGTCAACTTGGCTGTTGTCTATTCCCAACTGGTGAGTAATGTGTGGTTGACATCAATTGTATATGTGTAGTGCACGTGTGTGTGGTTTTGAGGAGTTGAGTCATGGTTTTAGCACTGTGCTGCATAGTTGCAGTGAGATTGGCCGGCGTTATACGCGTCTGAACCTGGCTGGACCTCTACGATATAAATAGAAGAAACTCTTGTCGTACAATAGGCGAAATAAAATATAATTGCCAGTGTGATTTAACATATAAAGAAACATGTACGATGTCTGTAATCTCGCGCAGTGAATCAAATATTACCCTCGTTGTGATTATGCTATATTTTTACCAGATTTTTTTCACTAGATGGTAGGCATTTTAAGTGATCAAATATGGTGTCACCCTTGCACAACAGCGAGCTGTTACTCTGCTTCTTGTCCTCTGAGGGTTTAAAGACAGGTGAAATGTAACAAATAATAAAGCTGAATAAAGGTGCTGGTGATAACGAGAGTGGCGGCGATGATGGTGATGACGACGGTTGGTTGTCATGGCGTCGGTGCGAGTGGTTCGCGGGGCGATGGCTTGTCTGAAACGTCGTGTCCCCAGAAGCGTCACGATGAGGCCCTGCCCCTGTACGAGCGTGCGCTCCGCACGTACGAGGACAGCCTGGGGCCCCTGCACCCCCGCGTGGCGGAGACCCTGCGGAACCTCGCCGTGCTGAGGTTCGCATGCTCTGCCCCTGCATAATCACTTTTATTACTGTAATAATGAATATGATAATAGGCAATAATATCATCCTACAATCCCAGGGAAATCTTGCCTAATGCTACTATTCCCCAGTTGTGCTATGAGAGGAAAGCAACGGTGAGAATTGCCTGTTTGGGATTAGCCATGGAACAATTTACTTCCTCAGTAGTTTAGCGATTCGTCGCAATCGGGGATGGCGATTTGAGTAAAGAACTTTTTTTGGCCTCTCATTTACCAACTTGTTTGGAACATTCTGTGTTTTTAGTTTCTGCATTTGTAGTCATTTCGTTAACCTATATAGAATGTTCACAGGTTACTTCAATTACTTCTTACATGCATGATTCGTCGCGCGCATTCTCAGCGCAAGAATCAATGTTAATCAATGAACTGACGCATAGTTACATTGAAAATTATTACGTAACCCCCGACTACAGCAAATTCTTCTGGCGGCAGTTGCACAGGCCTCACTCACTCAACACACTCCTAAGGGCAATGGTCATTCATCTGTATTGACCAGTCGGTCCTTGTGTGTGTCTAATGATATATGAAGCCTTCAGAGCGGGGATAAACAGAGCTGGGGATAAGTTATCTCTACCTAGTGGAATTGTAGGATCCCCTGGTGATCTTCGACAAAGAGCAAAAGCATTAACCCTAGTGCTCCGGCTATAACGGTTATACATGTAAATAAATGCCTGGGGTAGGGTAAATCCCCCTCGGATGACCTAATTTCAATGTTATTCTCCTCTTGGGATGAACATGCCTGAAAATAAGATGTACGCACCTCAGTGGATGTTTCTAAATGTTTAAAATGCAAGAACCGACTCACCTCTCGGCTTGTGCCGCGTTGATGTTCGTTCGGACGCCATGCCAAACAACACGCGGCACAACCGGGAAACACATCGTTGGAGAGCTGCACGGCACAACCGCTCAAAGCTACGCAATTGCATCACTCACTATTCCACTTGATAGATTGCTCTGTTGGTTCCATTTTACTGTTTACTCGGGACAAACACATCCTCTCTTGTCACTGCACTTCTGTGTGAAGGCCTCGCCTCGCCATGTCAGTCATATGGTTTGTTTGACCATACTTCACCACGTTGTTCGGTGTGGGTTGGTGAAGGGAAAGGTGTCCAACAACGGTTCGGTCAACACTCACTACTGATGTTAGCCACAGTAGCCAGAAATCAGTCTCAGGTCACCAGGCTTGTGTAGTGCGCTGACCACCGTAGCACTGCTCCAGCCCTTACTAAAGTAGTGACTGGCTAATATTTCACTTGGTTACTTAGTTAATGACCTGCTCGTTGGCTTGTTTACTCGTTAGCACATTTGGTTGCCTTTTGCTTGACAAACATCCATGCACACTCGCCTGTTCTCCTACTAGCTCAGTCGCGTGCGTACCCACTTCATTGCCGCAGATGAGGTGTTTCGGTTTCTATAATCTCTTGTTCAATTACATTTTACTCTTGTTCAGTCGTAGCCACGAGCAGACGAGAGAGACTATGCAAAGCCTCTACGCGCTCAGTAGACACACAGCATGCCACATCTCCTGCTGCCTCCAAGCTCCGCACTCTGCAGTATAACATTTCATTTCCATGGTTTTTTTTTTTGCTCACGAAATAATTAGTATTTTACAGGCAAAAATGAATTTGAATAAAATGCACTCGCGCATCGGCGCATACCTTTGTAGAGTTCTAATCAGTGTGAATATTTGTTATGCTTTTCACATCTTTCTGAAATTTAATTAGGCCTACCTTTGTACAATTATAGAAAAAATAATTACCAGCCATCGTCTGCATAGCAATGTTGTTCCCCTGAACTAATATTGATATGTAATAACTTAGTTGGTATTTATAGTTGGTATTTATTGAAAATTGGCAGCTCTTTGTAAAAGTGAATGCGGTAAAAAAATAATGTTATGTAACGGACATCAAAACGTTTTTTATAGATAAATACGTAGCGATTGGTCAGCAAGATACTATAAAACCATGGTGCTTAGAACCTTAACTCAGAATATTTATGGCTAACGGGTATTGTGATGGCGTAATCCTTTTCTAAAATGTGAAAAATTACAGCCTCCTAATTTACCCTCTGCAGGTTTCTACAGCACTGCGGGAAAAGGCAGCGCTGCGGACATTTTTCGTAATTTAATGTCGTTCACCTCGAGCTCGGAGTGCGTAATTCACCGAATGCACGGCTGCAAATCCCGGTGACACTTAAACCCGGCGACGCTTGGCTAGGCGGTTGCGTTGTTGGCGTTCGGCTCCATTGGCCGTTTTTGCAAGACGTGCTTCTGATTGCCGTTTTGCTCTGCACTCTGATAGACTTCGTCTCGCTTGTAGTGTGACCTGGCCTCGATCGGCCATCAGAATCCTCCGCCCTGCAGCAGGGATTCGCACGTCACTTATGTCCCCCGTAAATGATGAATGAGCTGTAAATGCCAGCGATAGTGACGTAGGCAACCCCCCCGAGCGCCGCATGAACTCATGTAATTTACTTTAACTGCCGCGCGTTGTCCGGGCCCAGGTACGAACAGGGAGACGTGGCTGGAGCGGCCGAGCTGTACAAGCGTGCCACGGAGATCCGGGGAGGGGAGTCGTTGCCGGCGGCGGCGGTCACTGGTGGGGGTCACAGGCCGCAGTCGCTGCACTCGTCCGGAAGCGAGCCGCTCGGCCTGGCGCTGCACTCGCCGCTGGGGCTAGGCTAGCGGAGGGCGGGCGGCCCGTCTCTAAGGTCGGAGGTTGAGTGGCCGGCCCCCGCCGCCGCCGACGACGACGGTAGTTGCAGCGCGGAAGCCGAAGGTCACGCTCAGGTACTCGCCGCCACAGGTTCGTCCAAGTTTCTCCAAATGTGTGTGCGGTTGGCGGAGAGAAGCCGAACACGAGCACTGACGTTTGTTTGCTTTCTTTTCAATGGCAGCACCAGGGTAGTAAAGAAAATGTGTAATTGACTACTTTGCGTGTACCTGTTCTGGATTAATCAATTGCTACTGACGCCATAAGGACTTCAAAAGAAAATAATGGATCGTTGGTTGCGGGATGAAGCTTTACAAGTTAAAATACGAACATTGATGCCATCTACTTCACCGTTCCACTTTCTGCGTGAAGCATAACAAATGCCTCATTACACCTTGCCATAAACGCTGTATTTATTTGTCACCATCCGAACGCGAAAAAATATCGCGTGACCGCCATGGCAGTCAATCCCTGGAGATATTGTTACATTTTCGTTCCTGGCGGCACCAAACTCTTCCTCAGCGATGTCGGTGGTGAACAAGCGAGTCGCGAAATGCGTTGGGTGGCACCCTACGATCACAAACAAGGCTTGGGGTGAAGGTAGTGCTGAGAGAACCTGGAAGAGAGACGATGTGGTCGCAGCCCGCGTGCTTTGGCCTGCGTCGGTTTTGCGACACCCAAAAACTTGACGGAATGACTCAACGACCGACGAGTACACAGTGCCTGCTACTTCAACCTGCAAAGGACTGCGACGTAAATTAACACCTCAATCAGAAAAACCTGAGCGCTCATAGATTTCGTTGTGGTTGCTATGCATGTGATAACTGGCCCTTCCCTTTTCTTTCCATTGCCCAAATGAAATGTAAAGAAAACGTTAAGCAAGTAAGCACAGGATTTTTGGAACAAGTTGAAGCGGTTCACTTAAAAATTAAAAAGCAGCGTTCGAAAGCCGTATACCACAATCACACGTTTCAACTTTTGCAGTGAAGGCTGACGAACAGTCGTCAGCCGACATTGAAATTCAGAACAAATGCTGTTCTTGTAGAGAGAGAAAAAAAGCCCGAGTTAACAGCTGCCACAAGGTTCGTTTGTTAAGCCCGGTGTGACGGTGCGCGGCACTAGCACACGCTGCTCGTCCATGCCAACTCACTCAGTCGCGCGTGCGGTGCATCCTGCAGCCGAGCAGATAATTCCCTTTTTTGTGCCGCGTGACGTCGAGGCCGTTGGGGATGTGGCTTTGTTCGGCGACAATGCGAGCACGCGCGGGGGTTGCTGAGGTGTGGGCGCAGGGGACTGGGGAGGCGTGGGGGGATGTGGTCCGGTTAAAGTGCAGGGGGGGGACGCAGGGGGATCCGTCGTGTGGGACGTTGAAGGCAATCGAAATTAGCAGCCTTGCGTCTGCGTCAAAAATAACCGAGTTGTAACTAAAATAAAATGTTAACGTCAATTGGGTAAAGGTGCAGCCCTCAAACTGCTTGTTCCTGCCACCGCTCGTGGAAGGCCCTCCGCTAGAGGGCGCTTTACTGAGCCACTCTTGTCTATTCTTTCACGCTGACCAGACACAAAAACTGCCGATCAACTAACTGTAAAATTAGTTTAAAAACAGACCCTGTTATTTGTATACGATTTATGATTCCTGTGGATGAGAATGTTTAAACCTGAAGAATAGTTATCTGCTGCTTCATGAAGATGGAACGCTGTGTAACGTGAAGGTAAATTGGTCTGTAAAATGCGACCGTAATAATGCTGCATAATACAATTGGCAAATTTGGGCATTGCCACATTCATGCTTGCATCATCAAACAGGGACAAAGAAGGCTGAATTGTTGTGCTGGCAAAGCTTCGTCATCATCAGCCATGAAAAATCCACTGTTGGATGAAGGCCTCTCCAAGCCATCGCCACCTCTCGTGGTCCTGCAATGTAACGATCCACCCGCGCCAGCACGAGAACCGATTTCATCACTCCATCTCACGTGCGGACGTGCTCTTGGCTGCCGTTCCGCAGTATGTTTAATTTGAAGCTGCCGTGAGTTTACCCTTCGTCGCCCCAAGTTGATCAACTGTGGACGAGCTGGGAATCCAGCGCACGCGCGCAGAGAGAGGGCCTACCGTTGTTGCGAGGGCTAAATAATGGGACGGCAAAAAGCAAGTCTGCTGCAAGTGGAGATTAAGGAACATGCAGCATCATCGCTGACAATAACAAGCGATTGTTTGCCAGTGTAATGGGCCAAATCCCACCCTCCCCCCAAAAAATATATGAGGGCTTCCCCTCGCCTGCATGGTGAGCACAGGCCCAGCAGAGGATTGATAAAACAGGCTGTAGTTTTCCTCCTTGGAGTATGAATAATATTTGTATCTGCAAAAAGTATCCAGGTCTTCTTCTCGACAGTGGCATTGTTTATCACAGTCTGTGATGCCATTACACGTGAATTAATTAATTAACTGTAACATCTCAACTCATCCATAAACCGTAATTCGAACGTACACCGTATTGGTCAGCTGCTGTCTGTTGTGCGTTCTGTTTCCACATTCTGTAGGTAAATAAATAAAATTTGCCCATTGCCTTTCTGGACCAATATCCGAGCATTTGTTTAACAAGCAAACTCCGTGTAGTTTCGACCTTCTGGTTCTCATCAGTAGAATCAGGCTGGTTAAACACCTATGGCTGAGTCACCAGATGGTAATTGGCAGAGTTCTCCCATCGAATGATAATTAGTTTAAAAACAGACCCTGTTCAATGGAACAATCAAAACTGTATGCAAACACATGTGTTGTCATGGAGCGTTATGGGTAAAAACATATCTCATTCCGTCTTGCCGATAAGTAGGTTGGCTTCTGTGATGTTGGGTGGTGTGGGGATTTCTGTGGATTTTTATTGATGTCGTTCTCTGACGTCTATTTCAATTTCATTTCGAACTGCGGCAGCGTCCGCTTGGTGTCCCCAAGGTGGGATTTCACTTTGAAGACAACAGGAGGAGGCGGTCAATTTTCTCTCGACTAAACATATAAAAGCTTAGTGTGCATAAAGGTTAAAAGAACAGTCTACCTACCCACGTAAAATAGCTCATAAATATTAAAAGCGAGCGCTGCTGTGTGCTGACGTTCGGCACAAGCGGCGATGGAGGTCATCGAGTCCTGTGCAGTTTCGAGGCTTCATCTCGATAAGAGTGTGGATCTCCGCACATGCGATTGAACGGCACGGTCACCCTGCGTGCGTGTGCTCAAGGTGTGTCGCTTTCCCTTCATTGTCTCTTAACCTGCAAGCAGCATGGCTGCTTGCACAACAGCATGACAACCTTCACTCTGATTCCCCTGCTCTCGTCGTATTGTTTACTTCCAGTCAGAAGAACTGGAGAGTGCTGTACTTTTGTGTTTTGTATATGCAAATGGTGGCGATTGTGATGTACTTACTGCATTCTCAGCAGGACAGGTTTACTTCCTGGATCGGCACATTAAATGCATATAATTGCGTAAGAATCAATTGTTTACAATTCATGCAAATTATGTACGATTGTAACGTTTATGCTAAAAGAGCAAGTAAAAACCATAGAAACTAGACCCCAAAAAACCGAGACGCCATATAAATATGATGGTTAAAGGGGCAAAATATATATTTTTTTAATTATCCCAAATCGAGCCCATGATAATTCTTAAAATTACTGGGGCGGACAATTGTGATGCATCTACTCGATCGTGTGGTTGCTATATTCACTGGGAAGACAAAGGCAGCCCTACTTCCCTCGAATGTGCCGTGCCAACCTTAATAGGTGTTTTCCTACAGTGCGTGCCGCGACAACCCACGGGGTGAAATGGAGGCTCCTTGTCCCATCTCTCTCCACGTATGACATTGGCGTAGAGTGGTGCTGCAATGGACAGTGCTTTTTGCGCTATGAACCCAGTGTACCTGAGTTCGATTCCCGGCCATGGCTAACACCAAGTGGCGCGTGATATGTGAACCGGTCCTGGGCCCCCACCTCTCCCATCACCAATCCACTCTGGCCATTGTAGTCGAGTCGAGTAGAGTCAAACAGCCCTCGTGACTGACACAGAATGTTGAGTTCCTCAAGGGGCTTAGAACGATTCGATTATTTTACATGACTGGTCAGTCGTGACCATGCAGCGTCGTTTGCGATGCGTGGTCACGCAGCGCCTTAAGCCGAATGTGGCAAGTTTTGCTTGAGACGAACCCTGTGCAGTTGTGACATGTGCAGTGTCAGGTCTCGACTCAGAAACCACACACAATGTGGCCACCTGAAGTACAAACACGGAGTCTTGCAGTGGATCAAAACTGCTTAAACCAGAATCGACAATCACATCACTCTGTTTTTAAATAAATGTTGTGTGTGTGTGTACCGGACGTACGTTGCGCGTGGTTATCTGCACAAATATCTGAGAGCGACATTGCAGTGTGGCTGTTTTATCCAAGCTATGCAGCACTTAGTCACTGCGGATTAACACCGTTTGTTAAACGCCAACCTACCACGTCTGCAACGGCAACACGAGCAAAGGCAGTGACGACTTCAAATAATAATTAAAGCTCTTCCCCTCGTCACTTGTAACTCCTATCGATGAGGGTAAATGTGACAAGCGACTCTGTCGGAAGAGGATGCTGCAAATGAAGATATTGGCGTATGGGGACCGGTTATTATTTTTGCCGGCTGTACGATGCACGATCGCCAGCAATTACCTCTAATTGAATCTTTACGCAAATGATGCCGGGACTTTGGTTGAGAGAATGCGTCTCGGAAAGGCTGCCCTATGCATATCTCCAATAATATGTTGGTACAGTGATTCTATTTTAAATATACAGTGCAATGTCAAATATCCGACGATCCCATATCCGACCTGACCAATTCGACTGCCAACACCCCAGTGCAGCGTTAACTGTCACTTTCTATTGATGTTCACAAAGCTGACCTTTTCGCATGCAGTAATGTATTTTTTTTTATCTCGAGTACATTTGTGTATAAATTGCAGTCAAGCATTTTCCCGTCGCGTTTATTTTGCACTTCATTTTTTTCTCTCTCCCCTTGTAATATATTTGTGCTTGGTGTAACAAAAATGTTTTTCTACAGATGTTCACATATTCGCCTGTACCCCAGTCCCCAGCGAATTAATGTGTGACTTTGGGCTCATATAAGAAATAAGCACATCCAAATAACTGTGCAAGGGAAGGACGAGTAACATTGGTGTTTATTTTGTTTCTGCAACTGGTACTCGTGTAAACAACTCTGGGCATTACGGAATAAAGGGGACATTTTCATCTTCAACACTTTCTTTTTTCTGTTCGTGGACTATGCATTCATTTTCTGGAGTTTTTCTATGATCATTCATAATCGTCCTCATTGCGATCGTCCGCGGTGTGACATCTTGACATAATTGGTAATGTCTAAATTCATTCCGTGCACTTTGAAGTGGAAACTTCATCCTCATTAGCATAGTTCTAACTGGCCTGGAATGAGGCCGAATAAAAAATGACTCCGTTGGCTTCTGTATTTGGGGTTGTGTTTATTATTATTATAATTATTACGCTTATAATTCTCCATATGTTCGGATGGACTATCTAAAGCAGTTATGATTTTGCCGCATATCTGTATATCAAGCGCGTTTGTATAATGTTTCTGTAATATACAGTATATCAAAGGCTGTCAAAAAACCAAGAACAATGTTTATGCAAAACTCTTTGCCAGCTGCTCATTTATATGTACGGGACATTACTTAGCAACACAGAGGCGATTGGACAACTCGGTTGCGTTTCACCTCCACCGCCGACACATTTCTTCGCGAAATGTATGCAAACTCAACCATCGCCCAATGTTGGAATTGGCCAGGCGTGGAAAGGAGGCCGGGCACACTGCGTTTCGTACGCCCTGCAACACAGCCCATTAGCGTTACCATGGCCTCGACGCGCGCGGTGGTCTACACATGAGCCGCGGGGGGAAGGGGATTTTATAAAGCGGCGGTCGTAAGCCATCATGATGAGGCTGCTCGTCGTCTGGCCGTCTGGCCCGGCTGTCCCTAAGCCAGCTTTTAAGCTGTTTAAGCAGGCGGCCCAGACTTTCATCTTGATTACTGATGTGTGGGTGACTTCGCGACAGACCAGATGTGTCAATTTCTAAAATTAAAAGAGTTGTGTTACCGGATTTTGCTCAAGAGCGTACGAGGAATGATTAAAGTCATCATTCTTGCTCATGGAGCTTAAGCAGATCTGTGTTGGCCTCAAGTGCCCTTTCGCCACATTGGATGCAATGCCGAACATCAGCCGTTCTCAAATTCTAGTCCTTATTTCCCCAAGTTCTCCCCAGATGTGTGAAATGTACTGCATGTTACGCGGAACGCTTTACATGTAAATGCAAGATAATGGGCAATGGTGAAAATGTGGCCTTGAGGGAGGAGAATAATAGATGTGGAAACCGGAGGCTTGCAAACCGTTGCACTGCAGACAGGTTTTGCCAGCAATTATGGACATGGGGGTTATCATTTAGTGTAGAATTTCTAGCTATGAGTGACTCATTCTGCCACCTCCCCACCCATTGCTCTCTCTCTCTTGAAGCTCCTAGCAACCCTACCCGCCCACCCCACCAGCCGACCCAGCCTCCCACCAACACCCTCACACCCCATCTCACCTCTCCTCCGAGATTAATCTTCGCCTATTCCTAATGCCCTTTCTAGCTTTTGCCCCCCCCCCCCACCATCCAGCCCGCACTGCTCATCCCACTGCCTGGAGCTTCCAGACAGAACCCAGTCGAACCCAGGATGAGAAGGGGCAATGATAAACACCACAATAGAGATATGTCCCCTTAGCATAGGCACTCGCTGCTGTAGAATATGGGGTGCGGCTGAGAAAAGCAGCTGTATAGAAGAAACGTATGGCCTTTGAACACAAGTGCATGCAGACGATGGTGTCGATTTGTGGCAGGAAACTAAGCGAGTTGGAAGCGCGTCGTAAGAATGCGGCAATAAAGTGTTGTTGGTTTAATCAGGATAAGGGGGTTGTGATGGGGGTGCGAGATGAAGATATTGCCATTGTTGGTGGCACCCAGGGAGAAGCGATTCAGGGGATGGCCTAAATCCATAACAGTGGGAAACTGCAACAGAGGACCTTGAAGGTGAGGTTGTGGACCTTACAACATCTCGGGGAGGGAAGCGACGGAAAGTTGGCATCGCTTGCATTCGTCTTGAGCTTGAGCTAGGCACACGCATCTGTGCATGGAAACGACCAGAGGTGTGGACTCGAGTCATGTGACTTGGACTCGAGTCAGACTCGAGTCATGAATTTGATGACTTCAGACTCGACTTGGACTTGCATAACAATGACTTTGTCCCACCTCTGGAAACGGCACGCATCATCTACACGTGTTTGCGCACTCACATGTGCTGTGGAGTTGATGCATTGCCAACAGACAGGGCACTCATACTCATCGGGTTTTTTAGGATTGTTCTCACTTTTAGTGATTGTGAGGCAGTAGAGCAACGGATTCAATCCATCTGTGGGGAGCATTGGGTGTTATCCCCTTGTACGCAATGTTTTTTTTCCCGCCACAATACCGAGCACTCATTGATGGATTTGACCAAACAAGTCAGGATTGTCCTGCAAAACTATTCAGACTCGGAGAGGCTTACCTGGACCCAGAACTTAACTCAAAGCAATGCTCGGAAATCCACACTTAAAGGCCCACATTGAAATTTGTCAATTATCCCAATGCCGATAAAAAATATATATATGGGCCGCAAATTATTCATTTGGGATTACAGGAAACAACATCGCCCCCTACTGCGAACACTTTGCAGGACTTTTTAGACTCGGTGAGGCTCTTGATTATAAGTATACACAGCTTTAGTTATACACAGTGCCGGATTATCCTAGTAGCAAAAGTAGCTACATATGCTACGGGCCCCGCACTTTAAAGGGCCCCGCGCGAAATGCTTTCAAGCTATCAATTTCAGTTCAGTGATTCTGCACTTGCTCTATTACTATAGTACTATACTGCCTTCAAGTTTGATGAACTACTGGATGTTTAAGGCTGTATAGCAAATGAAAAAAATACTTCATTATGCAAGTACAAAATGTACGTGTTTCATATTTGTGTTTTTTTTTATTTAGGGCCCCTTTTAACATATTCTACAGGCCCCGCACTAGCTTAATCCAGCACTGGTTATTCACATGGCTGTTTGGAGCGGTGGTGCAGTGGTTAGCGCCCTGCGCTATCAACCCAACCACCTGAGTTTGAGTCTAGGCCACGGCTAACACCAGCGGAGATCAATATCTGAACCGGTTCTGCCAACCACTCCCCTGCCACCCACTCGCACTAACCATCGTGGTGAAGTATGGTCAGACAACCACCGTGACTGAAACGTGGTGGAGAGGACTTCATCCAGCAGTGGATGACAAGAGCGGTTGTAAATCAGTGTTAATAATATCGCATGGCACCCTATACAGGATACACAATTTATGCTCAAGAGTACAGTCTATACAATGAGATGTGATGCAGTATATATGGTGATCCATTTATAGATGCCTCACCGAGATATAGCTATGAGTGAAGATTACACAATAATTAGACGTTGTAAGCCAATCAGACTGGCTATTTGGCCCAAACTGTTTCAGGAGGGTGTCTAGATGTATGAAGTGTCTTGAGATTGGTAGAAATACTTGTCGAGAGGTCGTGAACTCGTGTTTTTTTTCCTTTAGAATTCCTCTAATTTTTAGTGAGACGCCTATAAATGGATCGCCCTGTATATATCATTAATAGTACATCCCATTTTTGCGTGTCAATCTCACTGCCCACACCTATACACACCACCACCAAACACCACATCCTTTATATTCATATTCTTGGTTATTTCGGTAAAGTCACGTACAAGGGAAATAATAAAATAATAAAAATATATTACTTCATTATTTCCCTTTTTATTATTTTCCTTTTACGTGACTTTACCGAAAGAACCAAGAATATGAATCCCTGCAGTCACGAAAGCTTAAAATCAAAATTGAACCACATCCTTTCTCATCATCATCCCTATGCAATGCTAGGCTGCTCTCTCTGCCTGAGATTTCGACCAAGACAGCTGGCTCCGTAGGCAGCTGAGACATCACCCCCCCACCCCAACATCAACCCATCCTCTTCCTCCCCCCACCCCAACCACCCCAACCACCCCCACCCCATCGTCCCCGGCTCCTCCAGCTCGCCAGCGCTGCCCGGCGTCCGACACCCGGGGAACGATAAGTCGACATCCGAAGCGGCGGTGCGGCTGCGTCTGGCTCCGGGAACTGTGGGTGCCGGACATTTCTCTATGATTGTTTTCTTTGCGGAGAAATGCTGCAGACCGGCTTGCCTTCGCCGCCAGGTACGTTATGGGGATGTTGGTGTGGCGCTTGATACGGTGTGATGCTGCTGCTGATGATGGTGATGATGATGATGCGCAGGCTGTCGCTGCTGCTGTTAATGGTCGATAGCGGCTATGCTATCCTTTTTGCCGGACGTGCGTGTGTAATCTGTGTGTGTGTGTGTGTTAAATGCTATCATGTGTGCGCTCTCTGTTAGACAATGGACAGAGTGCAACGCGGTGGGGTTATTGTGCGCGTGTGTAGCGGTCTGTGGCCATGTATAATTACACTGCTGGATGAGGCTATCCTGCCCCCGCATGCCATGGGGTGCTGCTGTCAGGGTTATGTGACCATACTTCACCACGCGATGTGAGTGCCGGATGGTTAAAGCAACGGGAATAAGATTCACAGCAACGTTGTTGAATGTGTGTGTCTGTGTATATATCGCGTACGCTTGTGTTCTAAAAAGCTTCAGGGTCAATAAATGTAGTTACGGCATTTACATTGCTTTCATGCAGCAGAGCCGACCGCAATGTATGCTGTGTGTGTCATTGAAATTATTTTTTAAATGACCACTATTGTAATATTAGTGACATACGTACCGAATAGCGAACACATACACACATATTTGAGATCATGGTACACAATTCACGGGGCTGTGGCATATGTTATGCAACATGATGTCAGCTACTTGCATGCTATAGCCCATGCTATGGAGCATGATGTTATAGACACATGCTATGGCATATGCCCGTTGCTACGGAACGTGATACACAATCATGCTATGGCGTATTCTATTGCTATGTGACCTGTCGAACAATCGTTGCCGTGGCATATTCCATTGCTACGGAATAATGATGACAAATACACGCATGCTGTATTGCTACGGAACATCGTGCTAGATGGATACGCGCTATGGCGGTGTGCTGCTGTGTGTGTGTGTGTTCTGTGTTCGTTCTGTGGGTGGTTGTACCACCGTTGTCCGTTACGCGGAGCTGCTGGTGTAGCAGGGCACCCAGAGAGAGATGAGCTCATTGGCATTCTCTTAACCAGCACTGCGCCTCTGATCAATTCCCATTTGTAAATTGCTCTTGATTTAGAAGAAGAAGAATAAAAAGCCTTAAGGCCAGCGTACGTATACAACTGGCGTGTTCTTTTCAATCGCATCGTACCGCGGGCTTTGTTTTAATGTTCATTTGGCGATGCGTAATTATTATTTTTTGGAGAGCGATCATTCATTTGCATTGCGTAATGACAGCCACCGTTATGATGATGACGATGGCGACGATGTGAGATTGTCATCTGCACTGTGTGTCGTCGGGCGATAGAGCGTTTCGATAGCGCACAGCATGCACATCCAGAGTACACGCGTGGTAGGCTGTCTTGTGTGTGTGACATCTCGTATCGTATACACGGTCGACCCATGGCACTGAGTCTGGCGCCGTGACCTCCTGCCAGCGGGCGTTCGACACTTCACGTGGCCTCAACGTGCACCCAGCCTGGCACAAGCGCCGTGGTGACGGCACCGCCACTTGGTGGCGAATGGCGATTGTTGTTGTATAGGATACACATACGGCATACACGTGTGTAAACATACAGTATACACGTGTGTGTATTGTAAACGTGGGATATGTATCGTATGGGAAACACCATGTTAGTATACACGTGTTACACGTGTACAGTAACAGTGTGTGTGTGTGTTTGATCCACCTTGTGTCGTGTGCACGGGGACATTTACAATGTACCGCCTATTGTATATTCGCCTATTGTATGACTTAGCCCGTCCTACACACCAAATCAATCATCCGTATCATTCGTACGAGTATGCACCCCCGTCACACCTGCACACCCGCCCCCCCCCCCCCCGGCCGCACTCTTTAAAGGTCAACAACGCGCGTGCACCTCCGGTGATCACGGTTGCCCACGCACTGTGCGAAAGAAGTTCCTCCTACATTACCCGCCGGGTCCCCCCGCCGCGTCCGGAGGACACCCTCCACACTCAACCACTCACCTGACCCTCACCCCCTCCACCCACCCACCACCACCACCCACCCACCACTCTCGCCAGACAACGGGGCACGTGGCATAACAGCGCCTTGCATAACACGAGAGGCGTCGCCACGTGATGTGAATGCGACAGGACGAGAGAGCGATTGTGCGGCGCGTTTCATGGATCGCATCCAAAGTGGCGCGCGCGCTGCACTGCCACTCGTTGTTTCGTAGTCCAAGTCGTGTGTCTCATCATCGGCCGTGTGCTATTCATAATACCGGGGTGCCTGTCCGTGCCGTCATGTGCCCCTGCACGTTCGGCCCAGTTTGTACCAATCCACTGCTGGATGAGGGCCTCCCCACCCCCCAACGACTAACGGGCTGGATGAGGATATTTGCTCCAACTTCACGCCAAGTGAGTGTGCGGTTGGACGGAGGTGGGGAGTGGAATGCAGGGCAACGGTGGATTTTTTCCCCCTGCACGCTCCAGTGTGCTATACCCACGTCGTCTCTTCAACACACGTCTTTGGCGCCTCGTTTTCACCCATCCAAGCGCGTATCCCACAGGCTTGCCGCGGCTTAGCTTTGGGGGGATCTGACGATTCTTCTGGGTCATTTGTGTCACCATAGTTGGGCCCACATTCTCGCCGTGTTTAATCCGGGATGTTAGCGCCCGCCCATCTTTGACTTTGCTGTGTAATTGAACTGTAACTGTGTGGGTGCGTTCTAAGCTACCAGGAACACCGTCTCCCCGTGCCGTTTATCATTCCGTTATTCCCCTTGGACTTTAGTTGCCTATTGCCGCCGACTGCCTCGGGAATCAAATACGGCACGTTTGAGTGTTGATTGTATTAATGTAGAAATCGTCAGCAGCAACGAGATATCCACTGCTGGATGAGAGGCTTCCCAAATCCGTGGCCATTTCCTGCGATCCTGCGATGGAATAATTATCCAACAAGCACCAGCACACGAATCGAGTTAATCGCTCCATCTCCTCGATGGGCATTCTCTTGGACGCATTCCATTTCTTCGCTGCATATCCTTGATTTGTCTTGATCTCATCGGCCATCATCTATTACAGCGACGTGTCCTGCCCAAGCACCGATAGATATAATACCTGGTCGAGGTATTAAATTAAAATCACGTTTTTAGTCCATAATAGAGGGTTTTTTTGTGGTTAGATCGCCTAAATATAAACGTTTCGTTATATGTACGTGAGCAGGAAGAAGAAAAACATGTATTAATAATTAATAAATAAAATTTACTTCAAGAATAACCAATAAAAATGTGTGTGAATGCCAGTGTTCAACTGCTCTTTAGAAATGTTTTTTTTAGTTTTTAGTGTGTTGACCTTCCCCGCACCTCCGATTAGCACGGTTGGCTACGTACGGTGCGAAATAAGTTCAACACACATACAGTGTTAAGAGAAATTAAATCGCCCTATGCGTCCTGACTTTTGGGTCACCCAGTCTATTCATTGTACATACACGTGGCGCGTGTTTTTGGTGTGTGTGTGCAAGTGGCGGTGATCTCGGGGTGGGCTAACGAGGCTAAGAAGGCGTTGAACGAGGCGGTCGACGGCATGCGGCATCGATTTCGTGGATTCGCTCTCCGCTCCCCCGCTTGCCCCTCGTCGTTGACCAGACACAATTACGCACGCGAAACCTTTGACAGCTCACAACTCTCCGCGAATCGATAGCGGCTGTTGCTTTTCCTGTTGCATAATTACCCCTGACGCGTTGGCGCTGTGGGCACCGTAAACCAACACCGTGTGCGAAAAGTTTAAAGGATGAGCTTGGCAACACCCCGAAGTGGCGTTAAAGGCGGGAGGGGCTGAGTGTTAGAGGCTGGTTGACTCGCTAGGGATATGGAAAGTACTGGTGGCTGGTAGGGATGCTGAGGAGTAAGGCTAATACTGGCGGCTGTATATCTGCTTAGGTGTAGGGCTAGTACTAGTATCTGGATGGTTAGTTGGTTAGAATTAGGGTTTGGTTGACTATTTTGCTTCGCCTGAACACTATAACTCATCTTCCCTCGTCATTGCATCACACGGTTTTGCTTATTTCAGTTTTCCAATGGGTTTTGTTTCTGGCTCATGGCTTAACTAGCATGACGTGGGTTTGTGTGTGCAGCCATGGGTTAATAGGTGTCTTATAGACTCTGCAGGAGGCATCTGCCACAAGCTGCATTGCCGTCATTGAGCTACAGCAATGATGACAGAAGGCACACAGACTGACCACACACAGACACGTACAGATGGGTGGGATGGGCAGTAAGCTTCGGATTTGAGAAAATTTTGGAAAATACGCACAGACGTAAGAAATATTTAGGCTAATTTCAAAAACCCAGGGATAGTAACAACGTGGAGGAAGCCTTCATCCAGCAGTGAATAGATCATGGCTGATGGTGATGTATTCGCCACTGCTTGAAAGGGCTCGCAGTGTTGACTCTACTGTGGACTCTTGTGTTGCGAGGTCTAACTCCGCAGGACGAGTCTCATTCGCGTGCCCGTAATGTCATCGCTGTCTGTTTGAAATCCACCAGACCATGCACTCTTGGCTGCCGTCCCATCATCTATTCACACAGTAACGGCAAAGGTGCAGCCCTGCAATTGCCTGCTCGTGCCACTGCTTACAGAAGGGCTTCCACTGCACAGAGAGAGAGATCTCCTCGAGTGTATGTTGGTCTACCCCTCCTCCCATTGTAGCCAATCGTCTTGGGACAGGTGGAAACACCCACACTTTACCCTACCACACGGGACCTGCTGATTGACTAATTGTGCTGTACCCAGCTATACTGTGAGGTGGACAGAGGTGTGGGGTCAATCAACTCGGCTATTGTTTCAAACTGCATCGCGCCTGGCGGTTGGATTGAACCGGCAACCTCCTAATTGCGAGTCGAGTGCGCTGACCATTGCACCACGGTGACACCATCGTCTGTCTCATTTAGCATCACACCCCAAGTGAGATTCATTACTTTGGTTTTCACTGATGATGGGGAATGTATATTGTTAATAATTTAGTTCAAGACT